ATGCGGCGGGTTACTGGCTTACTGCAACTACAATGACGTAATCAATGATACAATAATGTGGCACGAACTAATTCTACAAAATACAAAGTCATGTACATTGTACATGTTTGTACATGCACCTGGAAGCTCTCCCAATATTCCGGATACATGTACATGTACGTTTTCTTGTCTGTATCTTTGTTTTCCCGGGTATTTGTAACAATTAAACTCGCCAGCATCTAGAGAATGGTATACAGTGTGCTGAGTTTCTATGGCTGACAAGCGGATAGGATGTTGCCACATGGCACAGACGCACTGTGCTCGCGTCACACATTTGCGTCACATCAGCCTTGGTCCTCGATCCTCCTCTTCAACGATTCGGAGCGCTGTCTGATGATTGAAATAATTATACCATGTACATGTACATGTACATGCACATTATTATGTACATTTTCAATATTCATGACAGCATTACATACTTCAAGTACATTGTACTAATGCGATGCACATGATGTCATCATGTGTGGATACTCTTACACTTCCTCATTATCATGGCGTCTCTCTCTCTCTCACTCTCTCTCTCTCTCTCTCTCTCTCTCTCTCCGGCTCTCTCTCTCTCGCTCTCTCTCTCTCTCTCTCTCTCTCTCTCTCTCTCTCTCTCTCTCTCTCTCTCTCTCTCTCTCTCTCTCTCTCTCTCTCCCTCTCCCTCTCTCCCCCCTCTCTCTCCTCTCTCTCTCTCTCTCTCTCTCTCTCTCTCTCTCTCTCTCTCTCTCTCTCTCTCTCTCTCTCTCTCTCTCTCTCTCTCTCTCTCTCTCTCTCTCTCTCTCTCTCTCTCTCTCTCTCTCTCTCTCTCTCTCTCTCTCTCTCTCTCTCTCTCTCTCTCTCTCTCTCTCTCTCTCTCTCTCTGTCTCTCTCTCTCTCTCTCTCTCACTCTCTCTCTCTCTCTCTCTCTCTCTCTCTCTCTCTCTCTCTCTCTCTCTCTCTCTCTCTCTCTCTCTCTCTCTCTCTCTCTCTCTCTATCTCTATCTCTATCTCTCTCCCGGCTCCTCTCTCCCAACCTTTCTCCCTCTCTGCCTCCACCTACCTCCCTCCTTCCTCCCCCTCTCCCTCCCCTGTTGTTGTGTTGTTGTTTTGCTTGCTTGAATTCTTTATTCTCACGATGGCACCATCGCCAATAAGAGATTGTTGTTGTTGTTGTTGTTGTTGTTGTTGTTGTTGTTGTTGTTGTTGTTGTTGTTGTTGTTGTTGTTGTTGTTGTTGTTGTTGTTGTTGTTGTTGTTGTTGTTGTTGTTGTTGTTGTTGTTGTTGTTGTTGTTGTTGTTGTTGTTGTTGTTGTTGTTGTTGTTGTTTGTTTGTTTCTATTTTAACATCGCAAACCAAACGGGCACGGCTTGTCCAATATTATGATGGCGATGGAAAGATGCAACAATACAATGTGGAAAACACAGAGAGGTTCCAGGCTGTCCAAGAGAGTGCTCAATACCGAGTGGAAGAGCTGGTTCAAACACTAGGAGGACAGAGAAAGTGTAATGTGGAAAAATATCAGCCGGGAAGATGGCTACTCGGTTCTATACCACTAAGCAGGACAGGGGAAGATGAACTAAGAGAAAGAAAACTGTTTCCTCTGAGACAAAAATGCGATAATACTCATAAAAAGGACACACTTCAGGCTCATTACAAACATCTTGAAAGTTTTTGTCTTCACAAGTATACTTTCAAGCCTTCTCATCAGGTGAAATACAGGCAAGAGAAAAGGAACAGGAACAGTGGATTAAATACAGTAAGAAGGTGGTAAAACAGCGCAAAAAAGAAAGAAAGAAAGAAAGAAGATAGCTAAAGTAAACAGCGAAAATTGCAATAATGACACAAAGGTGCAAATGCGAGAAAACTCAATAAGCGCGACATGTAGTGCGACAACAAGAGACAACCACTGGACATACATGTAACTAACGAGGTTTTGACGACCTACCTAACAGCCTAAGTGTGAATTTGATTTGTTTCTGTTTGCAAAGGTTGGGTTTCCTTGTGTGGATGTAAAGAAAAAAAAGAAAGAAAACTAAGTCGAATAATTGGTCAGCCATAATAGAAGGCTTCGAGGTAGCGTTTAAACGGAGCATTATTTGCGGCAGACTGAAACTCCTGGGGCAAGTCATTCCATAGCTTGACGGCAGCAACTAGGGGCGACAGTAACCTGCATGAGTGACTGCGCGCCGCAGGGACACCATAATTATCCGAGATGGTCACCGAAACGGTACGGGTGGTGCGAGCAGGTAGATGAGACAATCGCTGGTAGATCTACATGGTGGATCAGTTCGCTTATCCTAAGGTTATGAATTTCTTTTTCTTTTTCTTTAGTTGTGTCAGGCCAGTGGTATCATGTACTGTGATTGCCCGTATAAGAGGCTTATTCAACAAATGAATACGGCCGGTGCATGAGGGAGCGGAGTTTGCACTCAGCTCGTTCCAGCACAGGAATCTGTCCGAAGCGGGTGTACAAAGGGGCGGTGTGTGAGAGCACCGGCTGTTTGACCACTGTACAAATGCACCTTTTATCCAGTCAGCGGCAGCTAGATGGTATCTTTCCTCCAACCACCTCTCTCTCTCTCTCTCTCTCTCTCTCTCTCTCTCTCTCTCTCTCTCTCTCTCTCTCTCTCTCTCTCTCTCTCTCTCTCCCTCTCTCCCCCTCTCTCCCTCTCTCTCTCTCTCTCTCTCTCTCTCTCTCTCTCTCTCTCTCTCTCTCTCTCTCTCTCTCTCTCTCTCTCTCTCTCTCTCTCTCTCTCTCTCTCTCTCCTCTCTCTCTCTCTCTCTCTCTCTCTCTCTCTCTCTCTCTCTCTCTCTCTCTCTCTCTCTCTCTCTCCCTCTCTCTCTCTCCCTCTCAGTCCCAGTCTCTCTTTCTCTCCCCCCCCCTCCGCATCTATCTTCCCTCTACCTCTCCATCTCTCGCTCCGTGCGAGAACAACTCACACAGCTGTTACAGAGTTGCCCTAGAGCCACCGTATGGTATTGTTATTAACCCCCTCCTTCCTTCCTTCTTTCTCAGCAGTAGCAGTTTGTCAAAGAGGGCATTTAATCGAGTTTACATTCAGCTTTGCACAGTCTCATCGAATGATCATAGCAAGGATGAGTCCATTTGGGTATAAATCTCAGTGTAGTCCGGCACTACAGTGAAACGTATCTAAGATGACCGCTCGGGGGACCTTCAAAACGGGGTCTTTGTTACCAGGTGGTCTCCTTAGAGTCCTTATCCAGGGTCATTTGACTGGAAATAGCATCCCTTGGTCCTGGTTGCAATGGTACGCTGGGACTGGTGGTCGCCTTATCCGAGTGGTCGCCTTATCCGAGTGGTCGCCATGACAGGTTTTACTGTAGTAGTAGCTTGGTAGCTACATGTAGTTTGTTACTGCAATTCACATTTTCAAGTTTCAATCATTTTCAGCGGCTGTTCTCTTTTCGAATTCTTTGCTCTCCCTGCATTCACAACATCAGTGGTTTGTGCGTTCAATAAAACACTTTTTAGTAGTAGGTTGGTAGTAGTGCTACATGTATTTGCCTGCACCTTTGTGGGTTCATACACTGACTTTTAATACTAGCCGGCTGGCATGGCATAACTTGTGTAACATCTTTTCATATTCACAATGGCTATCATACCTTGGATGGTTCTTCACTTTCTGTATCACATCTTGTGCCGGAATTGAACAATAAAGATGACGACTATCTAGAGTGACTAAGCTCCCAGCGGGAGCTTACATGCTCAGTGAAACCTGTCTAAGATGACCGCTCAAGGGACCTTCAAAGCATGGTCTCTGCTACCAGGTGGTCTCTTATCCAGGGTCATTTTACTGGAAATACATGATTGTACATGCTGATTGTAGCATCCTCGGTCCTGGTTGCGGTCAATGGCACTGTTTTGGGTGGCAGAAAACATGCGTGGCTTTTCTCATGCCACAGTACATGTACAGGCGTGTAGCGCCGTGGCGGTGGCTTTCTGACTGCCTGTGAGGCTCTGACATGGCAGCGTTGTCCATGTCTGAAACTTGCAGTGGAACAGCAGAGTGTAGGTGACTGGTCTACAATTAAAGACTAGTAATATCCATCGGACACCTCCGACCAGGCACAGGAAAACCTGTCAAGGCGACCACTGCCATAGCTGGCCGTATAACTATTATAGGTACGCATAGTAGGGCTTGGCGGATAATGCCGGCAGAAAAATTGGCAGAATTCGGTACTTTTTCTGGTAAGTTTCATGCATGTTTGGTATGTGGACAAAGAAATGGAGCAGAATTCGAGGAATTGCCCGCCATAAGGTTTTTATGGTTCTGCCAATTTCGGTGCAAAAAAAGCAGAATCTGCCACCTTTTCGAGCATTATTATCCGCCAAGGCCTTAAGCTGTGTTCACAACTGGCGCGTGGACGCGGTACGCTTGCGGTTCATGCGCCCCCAAACGCGCGCTCAGCCTTTCACAAAAAACAGCAATCCGAGCCGTATTTAGCGCGTGCGACACCTTCAAGTACTAATTTTTTGACCCCGCCAGTCAAAGTGACTGGCATGTACGCTGATACGCGCCTGATACGCGCTGAAAATTCCAACATGTTGGAAGTTCCATTTCGGCGCGTTTCCGTACGCATGGCGCCCCAAAAGCCAGCAAAAATACGCACAAACGCGTGGTTTCACGCGTACACGCGCCAGTTGTGAACACAGCTTAACGCATAGGCAACGGACAACAGCAAGGAGTCGTAAAATACCGGTATTTTACGACTCCCTGTACAACAGGGTACCCCGCGGCCCGGGCGGGGGGGGGGGGCATCACCCGGGGTCTCGCGATATTTCGGGCCGCGGGCGCGCATTGTCGGCATATCTCGTATCGTCTAGGAAACCAACAATGGCGTCCGAAAGCTTCGCTTTTTCTAGCTTTTCAATCAAAAATTAATGATTGAAAGTAGTTTTTGAATTTTTCTGCTTTTGACTTTTGTAATAGGGTGTTGTTCTGAGTTTCTTTGAATCTCAACTTGGGAGCTACTAATAGGAAACACAAGGAAAGTTTGTTTGAAAGTGTTCGTAACATATCGTACATATGCTAGTATATCGGGGACTGTTGGTCGCAGATCGGAAGGGAATGTATCGCTGAACGCCTTTACGATGAGCTGCATGAGCTCCGTTGCATTTCTCTTGTCAGCTCGCAGTGGAGCCCTGAGACCACTGTTGGGCCAGCTCCAACATGGATCGGCGGTGGGCGCAGTGCGTTTCCGTCGGCAACGTGTGCTCTTTCCTAAACTAGCACGCCAGGACCAGCCAGAGCATCAGCAACAGCATCAGGAACCAGAACACCACCAACATCATCAGGAACCAGAGCATCACCAACAGCATCAGGAACCAGAACACCTGCTGCAGCAGCAGCAGGAGCCACAGCACCAAGAACAACAGCAGCTGGAGCAACCGTGGCAAGAGCAGCATCAGCAAGAGCAGCAGTACGAGCCAGAGCCTGTGAGATATCAGATTGGCAGCTCGGCGACGGCTAGCAGCGCCGAAGTTGCAGCTGTGCGGGAAAAGCGCGATGCATTCAAAACCGCGCTTGAGACAACGTCGGACTGGAAAGGCGTGTGGGCACTGTACTCGCGCTTGAGTCGCTCGGGCATCCGGAAACACCAGCGCACATTGGACTTGTGCCATAGCAAGCTCCTGCGCCGGCTGGACTCGTCATTACGAGCTGATGATGTTAAGTCTGGTGATATGGTTAGTGTATTATCCAGTAAAGAGTTCCTCAAGCTCGACCGCTCCGTAGATATGGAAATAATTGTGTACGAAGCAATGGCGGATCGAGTTAACCGGGCCGACGTAGCCGATATCTGCTACACGTTGCGCAAACTAGGTCCACTTGTGAACAGCGCCAATCAGGCGGTGCACACGAGTGCTCACCAGTGCATGCTGGTCTATCTTCAGAAGCTGAACACCGTCCGGCACCTTGCCTCGCCGAATGACGTCGTGTCCGCGGCGTACGGCTGCTATAAAGGCAATGTTCAGTTTGGTGCCATAATGACATACACAAACATGGCGTGCCTATCCCATATGAGCCAGCTCGACGTTCGCGCAATGCAGTGGCTGTGCACTATGGCGGTTGATGGCTTTGAGCAGTGGTCCAGCTGGAAGAAAGACTCGGCGGGTGGCAAGGAGTTGATCCGTGCCCTGCTGCAGGAGTTACAGTCTCGCGGCGATTCTGTCCCGGTCAGCCCGCTTGTGAACATGCTCGCCAAGATGATGTCTATTGAGGTAGGTCACGGAGTACTCTCGTCATGTTTTTGCTGCTGTGAATTGTGTTGCTATGTTTGTTTGTTTACCAGGAAGGTAAGCAGCAGCTTTCGGACTTTGTTGTTTGTTTGTTTGTTATTTTGCTATGGTTTGGGGGATGGTTTGGGGGATGTGGACACTGGACAGTAAAACCTGTACGTGAAGATTGCAGAAACGTACATGTCTTCATAGAATCCATAGACCAATTATCTGACTGAAGTACGTGCTGTGCTGAAACACCACTTTCAGTGCACAGTGGAGCCAATGCCAAAGGCACGTTTCTGTGTGTGTGTGTGTGTGTGTGTGCGTGTGTGTGCGTGCGCGCGCATGCATGTTGTGTTCTCAGGAAACATTTGACGAAGATATCTTGAAGAAGTTTGACACGATGCTGAGTGTTCGTGGCCTGGATGTTGGTGTACGAACGATCTATAATTTAGCAATACTCTTCTCGCGATCCAATTATGTTGGCTTCAAGTTTGACTTTGTGCAACGCCTGAGTAGCCTGCACAGTCAGCTGCAGCCACCTATGTTTCACAGCATCATCGCCTTCCTGTACCGTTCTAAGAGAATTTCAGACCGAGCTCTGTGTGATGCCCTGGTGCACATCACGTACTCGCTGTCGCAATACTCCGTCGATGACATGGGCTCTCTCGGCCAGCTGCTCTCTACGCCTGTGCTGTGTGAACGGCCCGAAGTTGCCGCACTTGCCATTGAGCTGGCCGCAGAGGTAGAGCGCAGGCCGCTCCTGACTGGCACGGGGTGTGTGCCTTTGCTTGCATTCCTGACTCGGTACAGCCACCTGGAGCCACGCAAGCTCGTCAAGCTTGCCAGGGAAGCATGCGATGCAGCGCCAGAAGCATCCCTTGCTGAATGCAGCCAGCTGCTTTACACGCTAGCCAATGCGCATACAGCCTACCGTGCCGAGGCGAAGCAGTCTGGCGACAAGAAGAAGAAGACTACTGCCAAGGAGGAGCTGAAACATGCTGTGGATCCTCGCCGCCGGCTGAAACGCATGGTGACGCAGATGCTGCCCAAGACGTCCTTCAACGCTGCTCTCATGAACGACATTCATGCTCACCGTCTTGCCATGGGCTCCGCCACGCTAGGTATCTACTGGACCAGCATGCTGGATGCCGTTGGTAAGTTTGTCATAATGAATTGGTTGGACCTGCTGACGAACAATCCACATCGTACAATAGAAACCCTGACCGCATTGTCCGAGTTGAACTACGGCGTACCTCGACTCTACCAGCAGGTCAGTAAGCATCTTACCAATACTTGCACACCGCTGCAGGGGAATCGGTCCAGCGTTTCGGCGACGCGTGAAGTCGAGTACCCGGAGCTCTACTACAAGATCCAGCCGACGAGCCAGTGGATGATCGACGTTGTGTGGGCGTGTGCGGTGCAAGGTGTGATACCGCAGCCGGCTGTCCAGGCGTTGTGCCAGATAACACCAGAACAGGTACAGTGCAGTAACTAACATGTGAATGCGTACTGTGCATAGACTATCCCCCCCCCCCTGATGTGATCCTATGCATGAATGCAGTTGTGATTTCAAAGTCAGTGATTTCGTGCACACTTGTAATTGTCTGGAAACCCTGGCACATTCAGCACCAGAAATTCTGCTGGGGGACACAGTGTTGAAAAGTGGCTTACTTGGATTGATTTGTGTTGTTTCATAATGTTTCTCAAGATGCTGATGTTATGGTATGGGGGTGGTGTCTAATACACCTGCTTAGTAGTACAGAACTACAGTCAGACCTCGCTTAACCGCACACATCCGTTTTCCACAAAAATATCCGGATAGGCGAGGGAGCCGGATAACGAACACACATACCGGTACTGTATTATGCATGTGGCATATCAAAAGGAGTGGCATCGTACATACATGTACATGTAGATGGGTCCTATGCAGTACAACTAGCGTGCACAATATGTAAAACAGGCGAGAAAAATGGCAAGTGCGTGCAACTGAGTGCTATCCGTGTGCATCCAGCAGGTCAAGGACCTCATTTGTTGTACAACTCCCTGATTCTAGCTTCTGCAAGCCACGTGCAACCGGATACGACAAAGCTTTTTGTACACATTTCAACCAGTCTGTACACAAAATCATGCACCGGCATGCGGATTGCGAGGTCCGGTTATGTTGTTTGTCTAGCATATGCTGCACATCGGTGACCAGCGATTTTCTTCCGGATGGCGAGGGATCCGGATAAAAGAGGACTGGATAAGCAAGGTCTGACTGTATTGTAAAATAGCAGCATGCACCTACAAGATATTGAAGTGCTTGTATTTGTCGAGTTGAGCTGGCTAGCCCTTGATGTTGAAAATTACTGTGTTTGCAGTGCTCCTAGGATCTCCCGATCCATTTTTATTCTATAACGTCTTGTCTACTTAGCCCCCGGGCGCTCTCATCCTCCTCCCTCCCCCACACCTCTCTCTCTGTCTCTCTCTCTCTCTCTCTCTCTTCCACGTGTCACCAACAAGTCACTTATTACGGAGGATTAGCAAGACGAAATTCGCGTTCGCTTTCGCTCTCCAAGGAAAGTCCAACTCAGTGACGGAATTCGCGTTATGAGAAGGATTAGCAAACAGAATTCGCACATGCATGACGTTGACACGACGTACATTGTGTACAGACAGTACAGCGTGGTAATTTTTTTGACTGCCCTGACACGAATCCGCGATTCGTGTTCCGACTACTTTTCCGAATGAAAAGTGCGAAAGTTCGCAATCCAGTTCGCGAACTGAAAAATGTTTGCGAACGCGAATTTCGTCTTGCTAATCCTCCGTATTAATCAGCTCTCTTTCTCCAACTCTGCTGCAGGTCCGAAATCTTCCCCAAAAGAGAGTTATGTACCTATTTCAGCTGTACGCTTTGGCCAAGCAAAAACAAGTGGAGGATGGAACGGTTACGTTTGATATGCCGCGCAAGACTTTGGACGCGGTGCAGTCGTGCACCGCTCATACTTCGCTCAGCTCCGCGGAGAAGCAGTTTTCCAAGGAGATGGGCGAGCACCTTGGCATGCACGGTGTGAGAATGGCTCGGACTGGCGACGGCTGCTCTGCGGCGAATGCCATGCTGCTTCGCGACGGACGCATGGTCAAGTGGATTCCCACGCTGGAGCAGAAGCTCAAGATATCGGCGAAAGAGCTGAACCGCGTTGGCTTCACGCCGGTGGCGGTTCTCGTGGACACGCCCGCCGACCGTGTGTTCAGATCCAAGCGTCGTCTTGCAGTGTCCACCATGCAAGTTCGCGCTCTATGCGCGCTTGGCTGGAAGGTCATACAGGTAAGGTGGTATGCTGCTTGTGGGGTTCGGTCAATAAGTCTTTTGGGAAGATTTGTAAACCGAGAATATGGAATGCTTTAATTAAGTCTTATAGTTATACATGTATACATAAAACTCTCCTCCTCCATGCGCTCTAAAGCCGACCATTGCTACCCTCGGTAGCCATTACTCACACTAATAATCTCAAACAACGAAGGGGTCACGGGCCGATAAAAACCTGGATATGTGACCCTACCTGTGCATGAGAGCTCAGTGCATACTTCTGCTGTGCCCTCGGACCCAGATTTTAATGTACCCGCCCCGAAAAGTTTCAAGAGAAATCATACAGTGCACCCTTTGTGCGCCTTTGTACATGTTGTACGCCTACCTAGTAAAAAAAAGAGGCATCCGAATCCTTGAATGTCATACATGTACTTTATCCATTCGAAACCACTAAAATGTGACAGAATCCTAAAAACCCGGCTGAAATCAAAGACCTTACCTGACGTCAGAGGAACTGGGCATCTATGATCTTGAAATGAAGAGTTTCAGTGCAAAACGCTGTAAGCACCAAATTTGAGAATTTAAGATTTTGAAATCAGTGGAATCAAGGGGTCTAGGGGCACCTTCAGGCAAAATGTCACACTCAAGATCTGATTCGAACCCCTTCAACACTGTCGACCGAATATGGATTTAGATACGAACTACCCAGGTTTTGTGCCCGTTGCATCTCGCATCGCAAAAAATTGCTCGTGTGAATCCCCTTTAGTTTTCACCAGCGAAGCTCCGATTGACTACAAAGCTGAATCGATCGCAAAGTCCAGTGAACAAGCAAGCATTTCAATCGGCTTAAAGCAACCAAGTTTCAGTACTCTAACTGGGAGAATACAGAGAGCTTTTTTTCACAGCGCTGTCTGGATAGGATTGGAATAAGCAATTAGAGTTAGGTCCACTGCTCGACGAGTGCTCTATGCCCTGAAACAGAGCTTTTCCACACAGTAAGGTGACAGGAAGTTAGTTCTGTTACAAGTCTGAGATGAGTTTCATGTTTCTGACGATCCTACTCATCATAATTATGGTTGTTTGCCTGGTTTTGCTTCGGGTTGGCTTGCACGCTGACAGGTTCCACATGATGAGTGGGCGGATTGCAATGACAAAACCGAACGCAGTCGCCTCCTTGACTCATTGCCGGTCCAGGATGGCTCTGAAGCGTTGGAAACCAGCCGCGGCATTCAGTACGACCTGAAGGGGGAGATTATCCCAGATATCGTTGAGGACCAGGATGATGAGGACTATGAGCTGGACGATGAAGGCGATAAGCAGTAGTGGACCTGCCACGTCTCGGTGCATGTCCATACACACGTTTCTACGAATGTGTGTGTGTGTGTGTCCGCGCGTGTGTGTGGGGGGGGGGGCATGCATGCTGGTTTGCCTTGTAGTTTGTAAGGCGTGTAGCCGTCAGTTGAAGTGCAGGTCGCTCTAACTCATAGCTAGATTGTATGTATCAGTGGCACACCGGCTTGTTCATTGTGTTCAACTTGAGACTTTGCTGTCCCGCGTTTATTTATATCCTTCACCTGGTACCGAAATTAACCATTTTTTTTTCATTTTTAGATCTCTGGGTGTTGTTGTTGTTTGTTTGTTATTTCTTAGTTGCCTGTGCTGTTCTTATCTGTAGTTACCCCTGTACTCTTGAGCATATGCAGCTGGATCTGGTTCGCTTGAATTTCAAGAAATTGCGTACAATTTAGTGACGCAACATTTGTTGCTGGTTACTATTTGCAAGCATAATATTTTCTTGATTTAAGACCTTCCTTCACACTGTCTTTGAAAGAAGACTGGCTCTGGAGCATGCATGATGCCTGGAGTTTGCAATGAGTTTAGAAACGAGTCTCGTTGAGTAATGGTAGATTTCATGCATTTGTGTGCTTTTCCCGCCAAGATGATAAAACAGTTTTGATAAGGATGATGGACCATAATACTCAGTGCACCTCCTACCACCCCCCCCCCCCCCCCCCCCCCCACACACACACACACAAGGGCCATGGAAGGGCCCTTCCTTGAGATGTAATGCGCTGCCAGAGCGCCCCGTCTCGCGAGAGCGCCCCACCTTGATTTTACAGCCAAGGGAAGAAAATCGTAGGTCAGAATGCTACTAAGTTTGTACGATATGAGAACCTTTGTGTACTAATGTCACACTTGGTATGCTTTTATGTGGAGCTCGAAGATAAACTGGGTACGGATTGACTGCACAATGTGCAATGTTTGTACAAGGTCCGTGTCGTATGACCTACAGACAGGAATCCACCTCCACAAGGCGGCCACGAAAGGACGAGATGGTGGGGCGCTCTGGTGGTACTTTACGTATATAATAAATGTAGAGCCGAAGGATTTATTGCAATTACTTGAAGTACATACCAGTATAAAAACCGAGGTCCCCCGAGGTTTTTATAACTGGTATGTAATTGCAATAAATCCTGAGGCTACTACATTTATTATACATATGTTGACCTTCACTTTCCCTAAAAAGGAGTATTTTATAAACAGTATTTATTGGCCTTTAATAGTGGTATTTTATAAACAGTATTTATTGGCCCAAAAGCCAATAAATACTGTTTATAAAATACTCCTTTTTAGGGAAAAGTGCAGTGCTGCATGGAAAAGTACAGTGGTATTTATTGAGTCAAGCAAATTTATTCGAATTTGATACCGTTGATGGTGTGGTCACTAATGAGTGTGGGTATTTATCAAAGGTCAATATATGGTATATTGTACTAAAGTGACTACATGTATACCCCAAAATATGGGAAATCTTGTCTAGCGTAGTGCATGATTACAGTGACACCTATCTAAGCCGATCGCTCCAGTGACTTTCAGAAAGTGGTCCCCATGTACAGTCTGTATCGGCTATATCGTACCCTTTTGATTTCCGTGATTTTATCACTATAACCGATGCATCACTATATGCGATACGATCGATTTTTTTCTTTTTTTTCCGATCGACACATGAAAGGCAAGGAAATACTTCCACCAGTCTTCCAGCATGGCGTTTTGACAAATGAGCATGCTGCATACTAGTAGTTGACAGTTCCCGCATATCCATACAAAAAATTCTGTTATGTACATGTACATCATCATCATCACAAGCCCATAGCCCTAAGGCCGTCGGGGCGTCACAGAGCAAGTATGAACAAGCGAGCGCCATAAAAAATCGATCGCGTGCAGCAGCATGTACATGTATCCCTATAAAAATAAGCAACGTGAAGAAAGTAAAAAAAAAATAGGGCCTTTGATATTATTGCTACATGTATTTTAAAGTTATCACTATAGCCGATAATAATATAGTGCGTTATGCATGTTTTGATTCTTTGTTGCCATCATAATATCCGATATATCATTACATCCGATAATATTGGTTATAGTGATATTTTTACTGGATAAAATACGTTATGCTTTTGATATTTCGTACCAATATCACTGTAGCCGATATATTCTTATATCCGGTCACTCTATAGCCGATACAGACTGTACAGTGGTCTCCTTATCCAGGAGAATTTGACTGGAAATAAAACCCCTTGCCCGGGCCTTGGTCTTACTTAGTCTTAGTTGCAGACAGGTTTTACTGTAATTGTAGTGGTCGCCTTGGCAGGTTCTACTGGTCTCAGCCGGAGCAATAATGGTGTCCCAGTGATAAGGAGATGTTTTGATGTACATAGACTTGTGGCAAAATGGAGCACCCACTGTGAAGACGAAACCAGAGATTTTAGAAGAAAAAGCAATACTGTACACTACATATCCTCATTAATTATATCCACAGCTTCATGTATGCGCGATTCACTCATGAACACAACTGGGGCAAACCGTATTTTGAGCACCTGTTGCGATGAGTGTCTCAGTATTGAGCATGACTGTGCTGATGTGTAGAGAAGAGTAGATTGCACTACATGTGCATGTAAACCACCTGTTTTCACCTCCTTATTATACTCTTCCGTGCTGAGTCTCACATTTCAATTGTGGTCTTAGACCAACCCATTGTGCCTGCCGCCGAGTTATTGGCTGGGTTATTCCGGGTGTTTAGTAGCAACCGTTGTGAGTTCCCCGGAACAGAAGACGAACGACTTCTCATTTACCTGTTTTACTCCAAGTCAGTGACCACTATACTAGCCGCTGATTACTCCCCGCCCAAATCGGGTTACTGGTGCCTCAGTGTGCATGATCATGTGTAAATCATAAGGACAGCGGTACAATGGTAGATTGTCCAGATCTTCAAATTAGGGGCGGGGCCGACCCAGAGCTCTGCAGTCTGCTACTGGAAACCCTGGGTGTCAGTGATCATGGTAATAGCGGCCAAAAGTTTACGCTCGAAACCTGGTTTCCAATCAGTGGCTCGAAGTGACCACTGGGCCACCCAACTCTGCATAATTATCAAGATCTACATACAGTCGACTCCTCATAATTATACTGTGACGAACACCATTGTGCATGCAGGAGAATTTGTTCTTTATAGCCCGAAGTTCTTTTAACCGAAATGCACTCACATCATACAAGCGACACGTCACGACTGGCATGTGGCCCATGATAGTATGATTGCACTGAATTTACATACGGCCATACAAGACATGGTTCATTTTTTTAAGGGAAAGTTAAGGCTAAAATTAAAATTTCACCAGTTGTAGTCTTCGGGGTGCTGAGTCGAATGGTCGTGGTCCGAGGAAGCTGAGACGCTCCCTTCCTACTTTAATCCCAATCGAATTCGCGCACTTCCACCGAAACTGGGTGACTGCGTTCTCCTAGTTGGGGATTTGTATGCAAAATGTCACTAAAAGCACCATGTCGTTCTTATAAAAGCACGGATGACCCCGATTGGCCCACAGTATGTTGTAGTCTTTTGGACGCTGAGTCGACTGGTTTTGGTCCGAAAAGGCTGCGATGCAGCGTTCCTCCTTTATTCCCAATCGAACATGGTTGAACAAGCGGTCACGTGCTCCTGCGCACACCAGTCACCTGGTCACCGTGCCTGCAGGGTACAACTTACTAGCCTGTTTGACCTTTTTTGGGTGCAGTCCTGTCACTCGAGTTGAACTCGAGTTGAACCTTGGTGTATAATCTTTATTTCAGGAGTGTGAAAGTTGTCGCCTGCTGGCGCGGTGACCGGGTGATTTGGGCAATCGCGGTCATCCGTGATTTTATAAGAACGAAATGGCGCTTTTAGTGACATTTTGCAAACAAATCCCCATCTAGTAGGGCGCAGTCACCCAGTTTCGGTGGAAGTGCGCGAGTTCGATTGGGATTAAAGTAGGAAGGGAGCGTCTCAGCTTTCTCGGACCAAGACCATTCGACTCAGCACCCCGAAGACTACAACTGGTGAAATTTTGATTTTAGCCTTAACTTCCCCTTTAAAGCAAAACCATGCATGTCTTGTATGGCGCTTAAAAGCGGAAACTGTTCCACAAAAGGTCAATTTTGTATGGGTTAAAACAGGGACTTGGACACTGGTTCGATATATCACGAACTTCGCGATTAACTAGTTACGCGAGTTCGTTATAAGCGGAGTCGACTGTAGCACCTGTCCAGATTTAGTGAAACCTGGCTGAAACTTCCCATAATCCTTTTTCTTTGACTGAATTCAATGGTCAGGGATAGTAAAAAGAAGATTGGATGGCCAGTCTGTCACTATCTGGGGAGGTTTGCCAGAAAACATTGTGGAAGCATCAATGTTCTCATGCTTTTTATTATTTTATATACCGTATTTCCGCAAATAAAAGGCCGTCCTCGTATACAACGCCTTCCTCGTATACAAGGCCGGGGCAGGGGGCGATTGAAAAAATAGAAGACCGTCTCCGATTAGAAGACCGGGCCTACTAAATGAGTCTTTGATCTTGTGTTAAAAATAGAAGACCGTGCTCAAACTGTGGGAAAAAATAGAAGACCGTGCTCAAACTGTGTAGAAGAAAATGGAAGAACAGGGGTAAAACTGTGTGGCGAGAAATAGAAGACCGGGGTCAAACTGGGTTGAAAGAATAAAAGACCGTCCTCGAATACAAGACCGTCCTCGATTATAAGGCCGGGTTAGGACGAGGTTGAAAAAATAGTAGACCGGCGTACTATTTGTGGAAATATGGTACATGTATTTGAGGATTTCCTAAAGACGTAGTCTAAATTGAAGGGAGTTCCATTATAAGGCCACACGTTTTTATATCTATGTTTCTCGTCACCCGCGCGCATACGATTCAGGAGTCTGGAGGAAAAAAAGAAAAAAAAATGTGCTGCACTGACTGTGCATGTGGGGACCAGCACACTCATGCACATGTACATAATGTGGCCTGGCCTACGCGACACATGATGCGAGGTCACCAATTATTGTGCGCAATCTAGCTGCATATGCACAGATTGTGACAGAAGCTCCTACCACATACTAGTTGCAAACTATGGATGCTATTTTGCATGGTGTATTGGTGGATTTTAGTGTGAACAAAGGTCTAATAACCTTTTTTTAAATTTATTTTTCGGTCATTTTTTTATTTTTTTCCACCTCTCGCATACGTTTTTAGATTTTCAGGTGACGAGAAACATAGAAATAAAAACGTGTGGCCTAATGGGAGGCTGTAGGGTTGAGATAGCAGACAGTGGATTTTTGGTTGGTGTGGGCACTCTTGCTTGTGCAAATGATAACAAAAGACTAACTGAAGTTAGGACAATTTGATACGAGTTATATAGGCTACCCACCACTGTAAGTGTAACTAATAAATTACTTGAGTCACTTACTAAATTCTAAAATAAAGCAGTTGCTGGAATCCGGCCGTAGTGGTGTAGATCTACTTGCAGTTGAAGTCACGGCTGCTGCTGGCATATCGATGACTATTCCTTGACCTTTTGACCCTGAGTGACAGAGGTCAATCAACGTTTTGGCTTGTTCGGGATAACCCTGCCAAATTCCACCTATCCTGAGCATTGGTTTCTTCAGTCATGATGATGCTAGTCAAGCGAAGTCGTCTTCGAGGAAGAAAAACTACGGTAACAGTTCTTGCAGTTATGTTGGATAATGACTCCGAGGGTTTTCTCGCCCGGCTTTTCATTTTCTCCCAAGCCTCACGGCTTCCCAACGTTATGCGAATGAGGTAAGAACTTGATTTCGGGCATAACATCGCTGATCATCACATGCGATGGCTGTTCCGGCAAAGATAGCCTGCAAGTAACGTTAGCCATGCGCGAGTTGCGCAAGGAGTTGGTTGAGGAGTCGTACGAGGAGCTGGGCACGGAGTTGTTGGACAAGGAGTTGGACTGCAAGCGATGGAGGCCAAACCCCGGACACGGTACGTCCATTCTCTTCTTACTGTGCTTCGACGACCGGCGCCTGCGCTGCATAAGCCATAAGGCTTTTCAAGTGGCGCATCCATGATCCGGCACTTCCGTTGCTTTTGGGCTGATTGGCTTGGAGGCGAGGCATGATGCCTTTCATTGCATTTGGTGGCGTAGGGAGAAGCACCGGCTAGTTCCCTTGTCACACGCTCCCTTGTCACACGCTCAGCTAGCACGAGAACAAGACTTTTACTGGTGTTTATTTATCGTGGTACCGTAAAGCAATAATATGCCACTGTGGCGAAAAGCAGGACTTGGTGTTAGCCACCATGCGAAGCACCATGTCAAGATTATGCCCGCTGTGCATGAGTAGTTTTGCGGTACAACCGTTTACCTATGCAGTTTATTCAGTAACATACAAATGTAGTGCACAGAAGGCGGTCCGACACTCAGTGACATGTAGTCACTGCAAAGATTTACAGTACTAGCTGTTACGGCATTAGAGTATAGGGCTACAGTAAAACCTGTGACTAACGATCACCCCTTGGGGCCGGGGCCAGAGAAAGTGGTCTTTAGGGACAGGTGGTCCTTAGTTGGAGGTTTGCAACGCACAACCATAATGTGAGACCGTCTGTGCCTGGCGAAGTGGTCTGTAGTAGCAGGCTGGTCGCTAGTCACGGTGGTCTTTAGTTACAGGTTTTACTGTACCAGTAAGTGCCATGTCTGCTCCCTATTCTGTATGCAGGAAGAGGAGGAGGAAGGGAAGAGCAAAAGCAGGCACTGTTGTGACCTACTCGCGGAAGAAGCCTCAGCACCTCGTGGAGACTGACCTCTTCTCCTCAGCCACAACCGTGCGTTTCCCAATGGATTCCACGGATGGGTCATCTGGAACGAGTTGTGCTACAGCCATGCCAAGTACTGGTAAGGATGTGGGACAATCGAGAGGTCTTAGCCACTCATACAACGAGCACAGAATGAAGCGATGATTTGTTTTCGCATAGCGAGCCAGGTCCAGATGACTGGGGACAAGACTCTGATGTGCTTGACGAGTTCATCTCAAGTCGGACTCACTGTGAAATTGTTATGCACTCCTGTCACAACTCACCTAGATGTCTGCAATGCCTGGCTTGCGACAGTACCAATGCGAGCAGGGGGGGGGGGGGGGGGGTAGTCTATAGGACCAGGCCTGCTCTGGAGGTCAGGACAGTTGAAGGTTGTGGGAAAAGGGTACTGAAGTAGAATTCATAGGCAAGATCAGCCATCATGACTAACAAGAAGGTCAGAGAGCAATGTGTCCAGTCATATGCCTTTCATGATCTCCGATATTCCCAAGATGATTTAGTCAGGCCAGATTTGACGCCAACTGTGCACGTTGAACTGACGCTGTCCATAGCAGGACAGTTGGCTGGTAAAGCAACGGTTCGTACTTGGACAAGACTAGACACACGCCTGCTTTATCAGATAGCTTGTCCCAGCATGGACCATTGGGTCAACTGTTGCTGTCCAGGCGAGTAGCCTGCATCATCCGGGAGCACGGGTGGGGTTCAGCATGCACATAATTTGACCATGAATGACCTGCACCTACCATCCTACACATATGCGTCCGTGCACCCCCCCCCCCTCCCAAAAGGGGACCAGCTACGCCCCCTGCTGTCCTACGTTACATTGCCTGAGGCTGGGGTCTAAACCTGGGAATGAATTCACTAGCCTGAGTGCAAGCAAGTCTGGCCTTTGACATTCAACTCCCGATATTCTTGTGGCTCAGAGCTAGATCACTTCTAATGACTGAGCTGGCAGTTGTAGTGTGAAGTGAGCTGTACAACATGTACGCGTGCCGGTGGAACTGTATTATTAATACCGACTGTTCAGCACCGTAAATGCGTTGTTCCATCAGGTGATGTTGAACAAAAATGTCTCCTTCTCTCAAGACTTGCAATCGGTGTTTTGTGCACCCGCACATTTGCTCCAGGCGTCAGGGGCCCAGCCTCCCCACATCAGGCTCGCCACACACAACAACGTAATTGACAACATAATTCTATAATTCTGTGACAAGACAGGGACGGACCACGGTGTGAGACACTTTGCTGCACTGCTTTCATCTGGAACACTGCACATTAACACTGTATTTGTGTGTGTGTGTGTGTGTGTGTGTGTGTGTGTGTGTGTGTGTGTGTGTGTGTGTGTGTGTGTATGTGTGTTGTGTTGTGTGTGTGTGTATGTATGTGTGTGTGTATGTGTGTGTGTATGTGTGTGTATGTGTGTGTGTGTGTGTTGTGTGTGTGCGTGCGTGCGTGTGTGTTTGCTTTTACTTCCTATATATCTTCATGTTCTGCAGTGGAGATGTCCAGGTCAAAAGCAAGGTTAGAGAGTGGGTGCCAACAATAATGACAGTACATGTACCTGCATGTCACCATTCTGTACGTGAAGGTTTGGGTAGCAAAAAGCGGCAAGCGTCAAATTCGGAATCGAGCCTTTGTGCTCCAAACGTTTGGCACATCACAAGACAACACAGAGAGGCGTAGCCAGTGGCTGGCAATGGCGTCGCTAGCCACAAGCGAGGGTCCCTGGTGCAAATCCTGGTGGTGACAGTCATTTTATTCTTGAGACTTTTCCCGTTTGCAACTACCTCAAATTAATGAATACACTACATGATAGGCATTTCTCCTGGGCTGCCTGTTGCACCATTCCGCAGCCCAGTATTTGCAGGTCTAGGGCTGCGCAGCGCCCGGCACATGCTTGAGTTACACGACTGGGTTCCCTTGAGCAGGCCTGTAGTTCTGTTGATCATGACTGACATTATCGGAATCTGGTGGTCAAAGCTCAAAAGTCAGTGGTGGGTGGGCTGACATCATAACTTAGAATGATGCCCATAGAAGCTGGGGGAAACCTGTGATGCAGTCACATTCCACGATAGTTATTCGTGTTGCCCTTTGATAGTACATGGTACAACCTTTGTTTCTGGACAGGAAGGTGAAGACCCCAAGGTCAAGACGGTCCGGAGCAGCATTTGACATGAACTCACCGCCGTCGGTTGAGAGGGGACGCGATGCTTCTTGCATTTCACATCACCACGAGTCGTTCCTGACAGAAGACCTGCCGAAGCCACTCCGATCCATGACAGGCATCATCCAGGACTCCAGCCGGTCATTGAGCAAGTCCTCTTTCAGGAAGAGAGAGAACCGGGCAGGTAACAATCAAAGATGGAAGGCATTGTGAAAATACATGTAGCAGGGGCAGGGGTCTACTTCCAGTAGAGTACAAGTGCAATTCTGTAGCACGTCTACATACATGTGTACATCACTACATACACTGAAACCTGTCTAAGACGACCACTCAAGGAATGTTCAAAACATGGTCTCTGTTACCAGGTGTTCTCCTTATCCAGGGTCTTTTGAGTGGAAATAGCATCCCTTGGTCCTGGTTTCAGTGGTCTTCTAGGACAGGTGGTCACCTTATCCGAGTGGCCGCCATGACAGGTTTTACTGTATACCTTAAAGTACCGCGAGAGCGCCCCACCATCCCATGCTTTCGTGGTCGTATTGTGGAGGTGGTCTCCTGTCTGTAGGTCACACGAAACGAACCTTGTACGCACATTGCACGTTGTGCAGTCAATCCGTACCTTCCAGCGGACACGAGCTCCACACCAAAACCCGCTAAGTGTGACCTTAGCGCACTAAGGTTCTCACAGCATACAAACTTCGTTGCACTCTGCCATACGATTTTCTTTTCCGTGGCTATAAAATCAAGGTGGGGTGCTCTCTCGAAATTGGGCACTCTGGCGGTACTTTACGGCATGTGTACTCGTACATTCCAGTAACACACTGCACTCTAGTATTGGGCTTGTGAGCACCACCTCGAATATGCTTAGTCAACACAACTGACATGTAAGGGGCCTTCCGTAAATACCGGTATTTATTTAGAAACGAAAACTAGTCATTTCTCTTCAACCGCCCTCCCCCCCCCCCCCCCCGAGAAACGAACACGTACAAATGGTACATAGTATCGATATTTTTGATCTTTTTTCTGGACATGCTCATGCATGCAGAATGTACAGGCGCTCAACCTCCTCCCCCCCCAAACGACTAGTTTTCGTTTCTAAATATATACCTATATTTACGGATGACCCCTAAGCGTAAACAGTCCAAGTGCAGCTCATACATCAATTGTAAACACAATAGCGAGAATTCACAACTGTCTGGATATAAGTCTGTAGCCAGATGATGTACAGATTATCAGTTGTTTGAGGATTGCCTTAGCCTTGCTATGTGCATTAAACGCAGCACTACAACAATGATCTAGCCGGTTCTCTCTGTTCTCTTCTGCCTTTCAAGTGTAAACGCATGTAATTAATTTCCACTGCTCTGCAGCATCGACTTCACCAGGATCTCGTGGCCGTCGAGCCTCCCCAGGCGCGCTGAGCACGCTGAGGAGCATCCAGTCCATGGATCTGACTGATCCTGCAGGCGCTACACCCTGCGTCAGATCAGACAGTGCATCTGAGGACTCGGACGACAGGACACCGTCGGTGCTGACCAAGTTCCAGGCAACTCCGGTACGCCATAGACATGCACAGGAGTTGACATCCATGCACACCAAGAGTACTAGTACAGTCGTCCCTCTCTAATCCGGCACTTTATAATCCAGCACCCTCGATAAACCAGCACAATTTTCAGTAGCCAAAATGTCCTCTTCATGCACATTGCAGCAGTAAATCAGATTTGTTAATCCAGCACCCTCCCTAATCCAGCAGATTTTCTTGGCACAAATGGTGCCGGATTATAGAGGGACCACTGTACATCAAACCCAGAATGTGCGGCTTGTGACTTTTTCTGCATGGGTGTCTGTCATGGCAAATTAGACGTGCACGCTTTTACAATGGGCCCCTCCTCGGGCAATCCTGAATCCACCACTGATTATGTGATTAAATGCAATTCTATTCAACTCCCTCAGTAACAGTAAAACCTGGTGTAAGCGACCTCTGGTTTTAGCGACCACCTGCTTTTACCGACTGTTTTCCATGCACGGACAGTTTTACACAGAAACTGCACTGGATACAGCGACCAGCGACTTACTTGTATGTACCAAGTGCCATATTATTGGACCTGCACACAGGGACCAACACCAGCCAAAAGTGCCATCCTGGCTGACTGCAACAGGGTTGAAGTGACCTCTGAAGCAAGTGCATGCATTCAACAGAAGTGACGCATGACATTGCTGGATGCACTGCATGCACTTGAGTGAGGTGTTCTTTGCCTGCACGAAAGTATTCGATGCTCAAAGCCTGTCAATATGAGTACATGGAAGTACAATCATGTACATGTCTGTACACGATCCAATATGCCAGGAATGCATGGGACCTGGTTATAAAGACCACCTGGCTTTAATGACTGCTTTCGCTTGCACCGTAGGGTGGTCGTTTAAACCAGGTTTTACTGTGAGTACATTGTATTTTGAATGTGTGTTGGTGATTGTGAACGCAGAAAAGAAAATCATTGATGAGATCTTTGCCTTCGGTGACGTCAGCTATATTCAATTCGGTAAGGTGATTTGACATGGTGTGTGTGTGTGTGTGTGTGTGTGTGTGTGTGTGTGTGTGTGTGTGTGTGTGTGTGTGTGTGTGTGTGTGTGTATGCACATGTAGGTGCGCGCGTGTGTGTGGCTGTGCGGCTGAAGGTGGTTTCTCGTCTTGATGCACTTGCAGCAAGAAATCCATACCCAGTTAACTTTCTTGTGTCCTAGAAAAACACATTCCTTCTCTTCTGTGCACGGGCAATATCACTGCAGGGCGACACCGATTCATCATCATCATCACCACCAGTGGTTGAACATCTGGATATCAGTGTACCGTCGCCTGCAGTTGAGCTGCATGTCTATAGCACCTCAGCAGCCAGGGAAGAGGACCATTCGATATCACGGTCTGGCCTCACCTATCTGCCATCTCAGCACGATCCTGGTAAATCTCATCATCTCTCTCCGGCCACAACCGCAGACGTGAGAGCCATATGAACTTTGTCGAATTGTCACTATCATTATCTTGTCTAATACAGTCGTCCCTCTCTAATCCGTCACCCTTTGCTACGGCGTTTTCTGCTGGATTAACGAGGGTGCTGGATTAAGAAATCCTGCCCTCTGACCCGGCCCTACCCAATTGCATGCATGTATCATATGTACGTCAAAACGCAGGGTTCTTCCGTGTCGACCCAAGTATTTGGTGCACGGCTTTATATTCTCAATTGTTCTCCGGGAATATACACAGTGATAAAGTGATAAAGTAAAACAGAGAACATGTTCACATGTACTCTTGCACACACACACACGCACACACACACACACCTGAAAATTGGCAGGACACTACTCCTTGCTAAAATAAGAAAGTATGGATGACTGCCGTTGTCTCCTGGACAAGCCTAGCCTGGCCTGGCAAGGAGTGCACCTGTACGGCACGCGATTTACGACTGCCGGATTATGAAATCAAACTACGTGCAGTTTGAGCAATTCGTTTCAAAAAGTCACTGCCGGAGGCGGAATTCAAGTGCCGGATTAAGATGTAGGAATTGAACGAAAAAAATCGGTTTCGTCAGAAAGTGCGCCGGTTGGCAAGGGTTCCGGATAAACAAGTGCCGGATTAGAGAGGGACGACTGTATACAGTAGAGCCTCTCTTAGCGGATCGTACAAACCATAGACATTCTGAGACTTCTCCTTCAAACAGTTCACACGTACAACGGTAAATGCACAGACATGCTGGCCCAATCCAATCTGGTTTTAGCCAAATAGCCCAAGCCTGATTTGAAAAAAGCAAAAAAGCCCACACTAGTGTCATTACGATGTAACTGGTCCCTGGTCCCAGGTCCCGTATGTGTGTGTGTGTGTGTGTGTGTGCGCGTGCACGCACGCGCGTGTATTCAACTCTCAGATATTAGACGTGGGTGTGTTGTCTATGATTGGTCCACAATCTCTTTCCTTACGTTCTATTCCAATAGGCACCAAGCTTGCTTGCCGCACAGAACACAGCGCCAGTTCTCTGCAGCAGCTGTCATGCTAGCTTTGTTTCAGAACAATTGCTATCGTCACAGGTGAGCTAAGGCCATGGTCATACTGCCTCAGGAATGCTGTATTAACATCTGGATGTTTGTGTGGGTGTGTGTGTGTGGGGGGGGGGGGGGGGGTATTGCTCGGCAACAGTCGAAACAGAATCGAGCGCTTTACTTGCAGTGCCTGTCACTGGTATGATGGGCTGCTTTGATCTGGACAAATACCGCTAAAATAGTCTTTCTGGATGCCTGAGCCTTCATTTTGCATTGACCTTTCCTTGCTTTGTTTCTTTGTTGCTTCGTTTTATCAAACTGGCACTGTCATGGTCCGTGGACTTGAATTTTGAGTCCGCTCTGGTTCAAGCTGGACTCTTTCGAGGCCCAAAATGACAGCTGTATAAGACTCAATCAACGCTATGATATATCTGGGAGAAACCCCCCATGGCGTGTTCATAGTCTCTGTCTTGTTGGTGCCCTTTTGTATTGATGTTGGCCCAGGTAAGAGGCGTCAAACTTTCTTAGGCATTACCTTATTCCCAATGCAATCTATCCGCTCTTCTTCTTTGCAGAACAACGGTGGTTCAGAACAGCAGGATGCGGCCGTATTGCCAACGCAGTCTATCCACTCCTCGTCTTTGCAGAACAATGATACCCCAAACCAACAGGAGGTGGCAGCAACGGAACACTTCAGTCAAGAGCCGCTGATGTGCAGTACACGCATTTCTTCCAGAAATGCTCAGCAAAGGGCATCACCACCACCGCAGCAGCACACAAGCCCAAATATTAGTATAATCATGCAGAATAACTATGCCCCCGGCCAACAAGAGGAAGAAGCAATGGGACACTTCAGTCTAGAGCCACTGATGTGCAGCACGCGTATTCCTTCCAGAAGTACTTCCCAAACAGCATCATCACCGAGCCAGCACACAAGCCCAAATAGTACCCTCGCACAGAACAAAGGTACATCAGTACAACAAGAGGCAGCAGCAATGAAACACTTCGGTCGAGAGCCGCTGATGTGCAGCACGCGTATTCCTTCTAGAAGTACTTGCCAAACAGCATCCTCACCGGGCCAGCACACAAGCCCAAATAGTACCCTCGCACAGAACAAAGGTACATCAGTACAACAAGAGGCAGCAGCAATGAAACACTTCGGTCGAGAGCCGCTGATGTGCAGCACGCGCATTTCTTCCCGAAATACTCGACGAAGAGCATCACCAGATGCAAGCATCGGTGACTCCACAACACAGCAACTGCTGGTAGGAAGCTTCAGGCGCGAGCCTCTGATGTGCAGCACACGCATTGCCTCGCCAGCGACATCAACGGGTGGACATATTAGTTCAATCCACCACTGCGAGCCGTTCGAGCCAGCTGTGAGCAAATACGACTCGCAGTCCCCACAGAGTTCACCATCAATGTCAAGTACACTGAAGAACACGGTGCGTATCTACTTCGAAGTATGATGTCTAGGCTCAATGCCGCAGCTGCAATGCGCGCATACACACACACACATATACACTAAACATGTTTACCGTACTACTAACAACTTGTAACATGAGTGCACAACGAGCAAATCAGTGACTCGGGGAAAAACCCGTCAAGCACATGGGGATTCCCAGTCGTTTGGGCATTACCGTAAAACGGCTAATTTTAGCGACGGTGATATTTTAGCGACTTTAGCGAAAGGAGTGTTTTCGCCAAAGTTTTTCCGCGCCAATCGAAAATCTGCATGTACAGTACAAGTCATCCTTCTTTTAAAAGTCTGAAACTCGGATCGCAAAAAAATATTTCATCGTGAATTGGTCCAGATTCAGAAAACACTAAAAAAATTACCCGTTCTACAGTAGTCTGCATGGCAAAATGACTCGTTGACTTGTTATAGTGGAACTCTGATAAGACGTACTTCTTATCTGAACATACAATGTCATGTAGCTGCGAGAAATACTCGCACAGACAGTGAGGTCTTCACTGATGCAGATGTCTTTGATGCAAACCAGAAAGAGTGCTCGGCCAAGATGAGGCAAGGGAGTGTAATACCCTATTTGTACATCAAGGCACCGGAAATTAACTTGCCACTGAAAATTAGTCCAACCAATGAGGAAAATGACTCAAAAAGCCAGGGTCACCAAAAACCACGTGCAATTGATAATACTTCAAGTATGTGCAGGGTTCTAGCCAGGTCAGTATAGTAGGGGGGGGGGGGGGCGGGCATGGGAAAAAGTTACCCCGTGACCCATTTTTTCCATTGTCCAAAATTGCCTTGCAATGCAAAATGCAACATACAGGGTGAACCCCGACTTCACCCCTCACAAATGTGCCTTTATGAACCCTCTAGTAGTGACTATCGACTGCATTTTCGTTGAATGGCGTGAAAAAACACAGAAATCGGAAAATGAGTAGGGGGGGGGGGGGTGGTGCGCAAACAGAGTAGGGGAGCGCTGCGCCCCCCTACCCCCCTTTGGCTAGAACCCTGATGTGCATTCACAGTGGGTGAACGCTAAGGCTGGCAGTAAGCCCGCTCGCGATGTTGTGAAAGCTGGTTATTTTCCAAACCCCTCAGCTGATACAATGGCTGTAATGTGTTCTTTCACAGGAAGCAAGTGGTGACTTGAGCGTTCCAGACAGTGATAGCTGGCAGGAAGCACCAAGTTCGCCGAGTGATGGAGAACGTGCTCTGCCGCCGCTTAGAAAGTGTGCTGTTCCGGAAGTGGTAAGCGACCTGCAGAAGTGGCTAGCAATGAATAATGACGGAGGACCGACACAATCGTGGTGCTCACATACTCTCTGGTCTGTGGCGTTTCTCTGGTGTGTCTGGTCTATGGTGTTTCTCTGCCCGGTCACTGTCAAGTTCAGACCACGAGTACACAGCACCCCGCGTACCACTGTGGGACTGTAGGTCCCGGTAGCAGGAGGATAGGCAAATGATGTTAAATAGGTCATTTAATCCCCTGGATTGACCATAGCAGCGCCACAAAGAGCTGTGGCACTTGTCTCGATGTTTTACTGTACGCATAGCACTAACAAATAGTGTGAGCTATATATACATAACAAGTGAAACGGTGGGAATGAGCGAGAACCAGTATTTTCAGAATGATGGTGCATACAGTTAATATTTTCTTCGGACTTTTTCCTGTTTGCACCTTTCCCTCAAATTAATGAACAGTGAATTTACTGGCTAATGACGGTAATGTACATCAGAACAGTATGTAGTGCCATTAGAAAATGGCTACTGTAAGTCAACAAATATTCGACGCATATTTATTTTCGGCTATTTTTCGGGCCGAAATTTTGTTTTGCAAGGTTCAGTGTATACAGTCAGCGGCCGTACAGGCCAATAATTTGATGCGGCCGAAATGTGTTTTAGCCCTGGGAGGCCGAAATTTGAATGGGCCGAAAATGTGTAGACTCACAGTATGTTTGATCACATAATAACGAGCTTGGGCTATTCTTTGGTCACACACCCTCTATGGATCATGGCGCATATGCAACTCCTAAAGTGGTGGGAAGTGAGTAGACCAGACCCACCACAAAGTGGTCAAAGACCGAAAATCCCATTCGCTGCATCCATGCTTCCCTCGTGCCAGGCCATGAGGCCTTGATTCATGGAGGGCGGTGGCGTTCCTACGGATGCGGAAAACCAGCTGAGTCTCACGTGAACCCATACTGACCAACCACCACAATCTCAATCCCTTGACAAGACATGCAGAATCCCTGGATTTCTCTCAAAATCCCTGGATGGCACAAAAACAAGTGAAAAAGATCTTTTCCCGCCAAAAAAAACTTTCGACTCTGCAGCTCTACGTACAGCATAGTTCGACTCTGTAGTGCAGTTTGATCAGTCGGCGCCCGCCTGTCACTTTGTCAGTGCAGATCTTGCAGGCTAGGCATGGTCAGGTCTTCAAAGTGCTGTGCACAGTTCGAAGTGCGAATGAACACCGTACATACCTTGAAAAAAGTTCAAAAAACCGGGACATTCGGGGCGAATCCATGGAGTTTTCAGGAAAATCCTGTATCAGACAAAACTGTGGTATTTCCGGGAGTTTGCTTGAAATCCCCGGGACCCCGGGAGGAGTGTTGATTTTCCGGGATTTTCCCGGGAAAAACGGGAGGGTTGGCCAGTGTGGTGAACCGTGATTTTTTCGTCACACACATAGTCGATTCTACTGATCTATTGACGTGTACACGTGGGGAACTTAATCACATAACCTGCTACTCGTCATACATGTGACTTGCCAGTCATCTGAGTCCTCTCTTGTCGATTATGCATGCGCCTGTGTCATGTGACCGAGAAATAGCAAGGGGCAGATGGTCTGTGCTGGTTTTTTATGCAGGACTACACGCCGTGCCCTATGCTAGCACTGTTTGCCAAGATGGAGCCAATTTGCACGATAGCCAAGAAACGGGCAAGCAACAAGCAGCCACTCGTCGAGAAGCACCCAACGGACTGGATTCAGGCCGCGCCTATGTCAGGCAAGTAACGTTAGGGGAACTGACAGATGTTCTCTTGGTAGTAAACAAACTCACTGCGGTCTCATTGATCCGCAGCAGTAAGAGCAGGTATGTCTTTACTAGTTTCCGGCCGAGTGCTATTCTTTTCATAAATATTTATTCAAATTCTATTGTGTGGTGGTTGTACATCTCACGGCCAGCTGATAATGTAGAATTCAGCACACAGCGCACTCCAAAACAGAACCAACCCATACGAAAACCTTAGTCTTACAAAATCATTTCATTGCAGCCTTTCCGAGAATAGATCTGCAAGAACACGTTCAACAGTGCCGGGGCTTCTTTCTCCCCTTTTTTGAGTTCAGGCCAGGTCAGAACTCCAGGGCGAACTCGAGATATACCGTTATTTTCACACACTCCAAACTAATTTCATCAAGTTGTGGCCAATATTCACAAGAGTATTTTCTGCAGTGCCAAAAAGTATTCATTCCTTTTCAGTTTGTTAGAGACTGTTTGTTCTGCACACAGAGCACATGCACTATAAAAGAGAGCCAGTCCTATATTTCTTCACACAAAGACCATTAGTTTTCGTTTTAATAATTCTTAGCATTGCAAGCTAGGCGGATATGTGCAAACTTATTTCAACAACACCAAGCGTTCATTTCCATCTTGTTAATCCTTGAGCACATTTGCATTTTAAAATCTATTTTTCTCCGAAGCGGAGCCAGTGAAAAAAGCCAGTGAAAATAGATGATAAAAAAATTGCTAACATAAATAATAGTTGTTGGCTAAGACATCTGCTGACCAGGGAGATAAACACCTCTTTGATTAAAAAAAGAAGAAGAAGAAGGAAAGTGTGGCTAGTAGGTAGAGGATTTTCCCGAGGAGATACATGCTGCAATAGCCCAATAGGGTGATGACAATCCTCCCAAGATGCGATGCAGGACATATGGAAACTTTGACGTTAATGACGTGGAGGTGTTCCTGTCAATGTCAGTGGATTCCTGCAGGGCGCAGACCAGCTCGGGTAGGAATCACCTGCAGACATCAGCAACCGTCTTGGGAAGTGCATATCAATGCGGGAGGCCGGCTGCTTCGACGTCGTTCAGTTGCACACCCGACTAAAGCGCTGCAATCGGAGTGCTTCTGGGGTTTGCTTCCATCAAGGTCACAGAATGCGATGCCACCATTGGTTCTGCTCTGGGTTTTGCTTGCCTGAGGAGTAGCGCTCGTCCACAATATTCTGCGACCAGGAGGACTTGGTGCTGCCGATGAAAACGTCCGCACCACTGCAGACCTCCTGCTCGACCAACGAGAGTGCATAATTGCCCGAGACGTCTACGTTGCCCTGCACATGTGACGGTAAGATCAAGTGCTTGATGTGCTTCTTCAGCAACTGAACCAGACCCTAGGTGCGGAAACACAGAACATGTACCGGTATCGCCATTGCTATGCAAAAGCACATGATGTCTCAGGTACGCCGTGCAGCATATGCGGAATGCATTTTACGTTGCCATCCAGGATTACGTTAGGGGTACCATAACCATTACATTGTAGTTCTGTCTGGAGAAACTTCAGTATTATATTAAATGTACCTCCAAGAGCCATACAAATCTGCACGTTATAACCAGGACACTCTCCATCTAAATGACTGGAAGAGAGTATTTACTACTTAGCGAACACAGAAAAATACTTCATTCCCGAAGCATTGCTATACTCGGGATACTTTACAGGGGCGTCGCACACGGTACGGTCACTACGGTATCGACCGTACCACTATTTGACCCAAGTACCCCGTGAATCAATCAAATGCACTGATTTGGGCTCTAATTTTCCAACATTTTCGGCTCAACCAACCCTCCCCCACGAGTAAATTGTACTTTAGATGGCTGACCGTACCACACTAAAATACCTTCTGATGCCCCTGCTTTATACTTTTAAAAGGTTCACGATCCATGTACAAGTGCCATACCATAGCCCACTTGAACTGTCAGATTACATGCATGAGATGGCATCATAAGACGGCAATGAAGACAGTGGCCATGATCCGTACACCGCAGATCAGGTGTGGTATCTGACATTTTGTCTTCAAGGACTCGTCCCTTCAGCAGCCTGTACACTATACTCATAATCTAACCATTGAACAGCAATTGGGACACAATGCCACCAGACACAGCTTACCGTAGAGTCAGTCATGATTGCCATGTACACATACGAGATTTCGTGCTTGTGCATGATCGCAAGCAGCGTGTCCAGAACTTGCTTCTTGGTGGCTGCCAGCACCTTGCATTCGGGCCGCATGTTGAGGGGAACAAGGCTCTCGTTATAGCGGAACGCGTTTGTCTGCTTGCACCTGAACGTAAAGAAGGCAAAGAAGGCAAAGCAAGGCAAAGAGATACTGTAAACTGCCTAATATTCGCGACGGATTAATGTTCGCTATTTTCGCGAGAAGAGCGTAACGCGAATATTAACCATCGTGAACTCTAACTTCAATAGTGGGTGTATGTAAGTGGCCCCAGTGCTTCGCGAACTTTTGCCATCGCAAACTCGCTGGTTCTTAGAAATCGCGAAAATTTAGTGACGCGAATATTGGGCGGTTTACAGTACAGGAAATGGGAGGTCACAATACTCAAAACATACACAATGCATTGCCGCATAGGACAACCGAAGACCAGAGACGCACACTCCTCTCGGCTACAGGCTTTCTCCAGGAGTAGTGGTACGGTGGCATTCGTGCACTCTCATATACAAGACGTCACTCCGCAACTTACGAAGTTCATGAACACTAGTGTCACTACAAGTACTGTAAATATACAAATTTTCGGCAGCTATTTAATTTCGGCTATACTGTATAGCAGGAAATTTTCGGACGGAAATATTTTCGGACAAAGCCGATTTTCGACCTTTCGTACGGATTATATTTTCGTACAGTGCTTCATGCTAAATGCACGTGTTTGCATGCGCATGTACATGTATAGTTTACTAGTACATAACAGCAAATTTTAATACGGAATTAATTTTAGTACAAAAGAGGCTGTGTACGAAATCGTACGAAAATAAATTCCGTCCGAAAATTTCCTGCTATACAGTATTCGGCACCGACCCAAAACGCCTAAATTAAAACGCCGATGAAATTTTTCACAGCATCTGTCGCACTATACCATGCCCTCTACCCCACGCCGAAAATAAATCGCCGCCGAAATGTCAAAAATCGTGAAGTGCCGAAATTTTGAAGCGCCGAAATTTTGTATATTTACAGTACAGCCTAATGTTACCAGTAACTGCTAAGCAGCATCACAACTAACGATGTTGGCAATGAAGGTAAAGGCGACAATCACTATTTTACTTCTAAATACCAGTTAACAGTCCAGTGATGCACTCCCCCCCCGGTAGCCTCTTATTCTAATCCTGATTTAGCCAGGACAAGTGCCTAGTGAGTAGAGCCGTGCACGGGTAGCCGGGTACTGTGTTTTGACACAGCCCTGCTAGTAAGCCAATACACTATAGTAAGCCAATATGTGGGGGCGAGGAGTGTCCACCAGTAAGACAGGATCAAAAACGGATTTCTTACCAAAAGCGGCCCCATTCAGAGTTGAAGCGCCAGTGCACGGCAATGTACTTCTGCCCATGCAGCAACCCTTGCCACACTATACTAGCGGCCTGTATGCACAACACACACACAGCAAGCATAGCACATACAGTAGATGTGCATAAGAAATGAGCGATCTAGTAGTCCCTCGTTGTTAAAATCCGGCACCACTTGTGCCAAGGAAATTTCTGCTGCATTCGGGAGGGTACTGTTCTGGAGTAAAAACATCCGATTATACTGCTGTAGTGCACATGGTTGGGACATGTTGGCATCGCATAATTTACCACAGACCCACAATTATCACATTTGCTACATTCGATTGTTGCTGATGTGCCTGCCACCTGAAATCGCAAACTTCAAACAAAGCAAAAATGCTCTGCTTTAGAGTACAATAATTCCATCATAAAAATTCTGAAAAGGGTACTTACTTGTCTAGTCTGCACTGAGCGTAATAGGTGCTTGCTCAGAAAGCTGAAATGCTGGCCAGTGAGTATGAGCGTGTGGTAAGGCAAGGCTAGCACAGCACATTGGTGAGGGCTGACAAACGCACGCTCCACCAGCTGCTGGGCTGGAACTGAATACCAGTCTTTCACGGCCTTGGCCAAGTAGACCTGTAGCGATACCAACCAAAGCACATCATCGTCACTGTGACAATACACACATGTTTACACATGCCCTCACTACTGTAAGGTGGTCTCTTCAGGGCTGAAATGGTCACGATTTTCAACCTACTCATTACATGTACTTTCAAGACTGCATTGCACCCGACACTGCTTCATTCCTCTGGCCAGATTTCATTCAGTTGCACAGTAGACACTAGACTCTACACAATGCTATACTGTACCTTGTCAGCGTGATCTGCATTCAGGCGCGTCAACCGGTAGAAGTAGAATGCACGTTCCACGGTGTTGTCGCTTTCCGCTCGGCAGTGGTACTCCACGCCAACACGACCACCACAGATCTGAAACACATGCCAAGAAACGGAAACAAAATCAAGCGAGTGAATACGTAGCCAACCGGCTAATTAACGACACTACTTCAAGAAAGTTGAAATAACTATTAATCAACGGAACAGACTTCCATTATTGATCTCTCAAACAGCATACATAACACCAGGAGAGCAATTGCAGGAAATTTGTTTCAATTTATGCGGTCATCTAGCTTCTGTTCACAGAGCCGAGGGGAGTCCATATGACCGTGAAAAGTTAACTCCATTCTGCGTGGGTCAAAGTCGTTTCCAAGTTGGAGCGTGCATACTGCCTTTGTCAATTAGTTCTAGCTGATCTTTTGTGCTCGCCCACCTGTTCAAATTGTTGCCAGGACGCGACGGGCATGGCGTTGGACAGCGTGGCGATGTCAAACGTTTCCTGAGGAGACATGACAAACCTCTCGGCCAGGTGACGCTTCGAAGCTGGCATGTGACCAGGGAGACTAACGCTATCATGGCGATGATACCATAATTCAAAACATGAGAACACACAAACACAGGCACAGTAGCAGGGCACAACAAACACATGACAGTGATTCAGTGATTCTGCAGCAACACAACAATATGGGCCTTGCCCAATACATCCGTGAAATCAATGCCATGTTGATCTACGCTTTAGGAGCTGCATCTGCGCCTTGATCTTAGAGGGGGTGGCGTTCCTACAGCTTCGGAAAGTCTAACTGAGTTCACCGTGAACCGTAAATTTTCGATCTACAGTATTCACTATGGTCCAAGGCTAAGTTATGCTCCTGGCTTTTTACATTGCTTGTCCAGGTCGTTCTAGTTCGCAATCAACAGTCACCATGGTCACCGATGATCTACTTCGAGTACCATGCATTACATGGGCACAGCGAAGGTTGAGTCGGATATCGCAGAGCCCAAAGGATGAGGGAGATGCATCATGCGTCGTGCACTAGCACTGGCACTGCACACGAGCGCATGCGGTAGGGCCTGGGAAAACAAGTGGCCTTTGATCAGAGGCTGTCAGTGGTCACTAGACACGGGCCTCGCTGTATATGTACATCAGGGAATCGTAGCAGCTACATGTAGAAAGACGAGCCGAGATCATAATAATAATAATATTATTATTATGATCTCGGCATTATTATGATAAATTGATAATACCCAAAACGATGTGCATTTCGAATTTTCTACCTCAGTACCCGTAGATCTACCTACAGTGCATTTCAAAACTATAGACGCGTAGGGTTTTTGAAATATTTCAAATTTGGCTGGAACTTTTTGAGAATAGTTTTCGGAATATTGCTCAGGATCGCTCCACAATTACTCTCATATAGTTTCTTAAGGATTGGATAACAGACGCCCAATTTGGAAAAATTTATGCACAAAGTGATCACAGATTTTATGTGGTATAGATGCTGGCATAACGGTTTTTGCCTAGGTACGCGTCTATAGTTTTGAAATGGACTGTAGGCTACATACTGTAAACTGCCTAGGCTACACACTAGATCTACCTAGGCAGGCTAGGCTACATACTGTAAACTGCCTAATGTTTGCGACGTATTAATGTTTGCTATTTTTGCGAGAAGAGCATAACGCATCGTGAAATCAAACTTCAACAGTGGGTATATGTGTGGCCACAGTGCTCAGCGAACATTTGCCATCGTAACTTTCGTAAGCTCACTGGCTCTGAGAGATCGCAACAATTTAGTGACACGAACATTGGGCAGGTTACAGTACTAGATCTACCTAGGCTACAGCGATTTACTTCGGCTGCATACATCCTTAGATCTAACCATGCCATGGGCACTGCACGAACCTGTAGTGGTTGAAGAAAGGTGGCAAGACCAATGTTCGGTTCAGGAACTTAGCAGCCCAGATGCTCTCCTTGAAGCCACGGTACTGATTGTTAGGGCCGTACGGAAGCAGCGGCAGAAGGAGACGGGCGTTCTTAAGTGAGTCGAGAGACTGGTATGTAGTTAGTGCAACCTTCGGGTAATCCAGGTTAACCGACTGCACAGCCACACACACACACGCACGCACGTACACACACACACCTCAGACCTGCCCATCGCAGAAGCAATGATAGCGAACAGCTATGGTAGACATAGCAACTAGTGCTGGGATTACACCATTCAACAGCTTGCAAGGCTGATGAATTGACCACCACTAATTTTAGCCTGGTATCCACCACACAGCTGATTGAAGTGGCTTTTTCTGGCCAGTGAACACACACACACACACACCACCACCACCACCACCACCACACACACACACACACACGCGCGCACACGTACATCGGAGTTTCGTGTAAAGCAGAGCCCAGAATTCTGGGAATACTATTGTAATAGGCCTTGGAAGTGCTAATGAAAGTAGTAGTAAGTGTGATGTCACAGAGTCATGATGTCGCGACAATGCAGACGTTGAATCAATTGGATCCATTTTTGTACGGATCAATATTCAATACATGTTCAGAGTGATTTTCTTCACAGCAGGTGACACAGACCTGAGCTGCTTGTACAGAAAAAGGCATGCCAACATTCGACACGAGGGGCCTACACACCAGATACCATGGTACTCAGCACTGATCAGAGTGGATCCAATTTGACTCCAAAGTCAGTGCTTACTACTAATGTCATGTTCAGGTATATTCAGTGTCTGCTCTAGGATTGTAGGACAGCCAGGTGCACGTGTACCTGGCGCAACCGTTTCAACCGGGTTGGAGCTGGGTACACATGTACCTGGCGCTGTCTCACCAGCCAAGTCACATGCCTTAACTAGTTGCTTGGTTTATTTTAATTCGGACAATAAACGGGAACTAGGCCCAATGATATAAAGGCGAATGGATAAGCCGCATTTAGAAAAGAGAGGACAGGAATTAGAAAATTACGAAAGAAGAAGAAGTATCTCAGACACATACAAGCCATGTAGTCAGTCCTTTCAAAGTTCGAAAGTGTAAAGTACCAGCCGGGTCACAGGTGACCCGGTACTATATTTTCAACCGGGTTCAAGCGCCGCCCAACCGGGTGGATTACCCGGCTCACCCGGCGCTGGAGCAGACACTGATATTAGTGTGCTTGATTGATGCCAGAATGATGCCAGTCCAACTACTACACTGCTGGCAACTGAAATCCGACCCCCTGGCCTGAGCGGTGGATTCAGATTCTCTGCGATGTGAGCGCATCACTCAGGGGGTCGGATTTCAGTTGCCAGGACTGTAGTAGTCATGCTTGTGTAACAAATCTCACCGGATCGAAATGCCAGCGCTGCGCTGCTGAGCTGTTGACCTTCCCGACGGGCATCTTGATCATGTGCTCATTGAACGCCCCTTTCTTACGGCAAGTGCCGCTAGGGTCGGGTTCCTGGCCACTGCAGGGAACATGGCAAAGAGAACATGGTAAAAAAAACCCGTTGTGCTAAGACACGACTTACAGGTGTGGAAGTCGTACCTAGGCACAAAGTCATGCGCAAATACATGTACTCTTTTGCATCCACTTACTTAGTAAAGACTTGTTTTTTGCACACAGTCCTGTGTATCATGAGGACCCTCAAAATCCAATCACCTTCCGGACTGAGCTCCAGCGGTTGCATTTTCGAGGTGGTTGGGTGTATGTGTGCGTATGGGGGAGAGTTTTGCAGTACCGGGAAACAAGGGATCACATTTCCGTGGGTCTGTGGAAGCGAGGTGGCCTGGCCCCGAAGTTCCACTATGCGCAAGGTACATACAATGCAGCTTGTTCCGTTGCCTGATGATTGATTCAAATCAAGAAACTCAAAATAGTGAGAAATATGCTCCTTTGGCCGGGATCCAACCGCTTCCCCTGCGCACCACGTGCACGTACACATACCTGAGGCAGCGCGAAACGCACCACGTCCCGCTGTGGCCGCCGCGATACGGCCGCGCCTTGGGACACTTGGCCACACAGCGGCCGCCGTCCTTGCTGTGCACGCAGTCAAAGCACAGCTCGTCGCTGAACCCGGCACAGCCTACGCACTGCTCGTGGCACGCTCGGCACCCAGAGTCGGCCGGAAACTCGTTGGCGTTGCAGCCTGACTTTGGCGGTGGCCGTCCGGCCGGTCGCGGTCTGACACTGATAATCGGTATGGCATGTGTAGTCGTGGCACTTGCCCTGATTGTAACTTCTGAACACATGACACAATACGTTTCAAAAAGGGGAGATTATGTCAAGGATTGACTCAAGGATTGACCAACAAACATGCTGCTACTAGTATAAAGTACGGACCACTGCTATACCGAATTTATGTTGTGCGTGCTTCCCCAGCTGCAACTCGTGTTTGGCATTTTAAAAGTGGTCTTTGTTTAAAAATGTCCTCCACATACGGCATACGCATTTCCCATTTAACGTCATTGGTCATGGATTCACTCATGCATTCTGGGGATCTTGATAAGGCTGATTGCTAACAGCAAGAAACAGAGGAGATAGGAACACCGCCACGGCGAATGCAATGGCATCAGTCAGTGGCTTACCGGGAGAGCGCCATTTGAACGTGAACAAGTGGTGGCCTGGCCCGAGTCTATGCAGCGCCACATCCAGACAGGCGACAGCGGCCACACCGACCAGCAAGTACAGCAGTGCTCGCTTGCAGCCACGCCGTCGCAGCGGATTGATCATCGCGTCCGGGCAACGGCGGTGACCAGTGCTAGCGTACAACGTCACGATTACGGCGCAGAGTGCCCTGGCGAGGGTTGAGGGACACTTTCCACCTCAACTGTCTACACATACTAGCGCCATTACGCTGCAGAAAGAGTAATAAACAGAGGAAAGTTTTCGAGGAGACAAGAAAGATATAAGCGCAATAAGTAAGGTGGGCAAATCTCATCTATGGGTGAGAGCTGGAGGAAATCCATAGCAGCACATGCCACGTTTGCATGGAGGACAAAACACTCGTCTACCTCTATACAGGCCTGGTGCTATATCACTGTGTGCAAGGTTGAATTGAAATTGCCTCGCAAAACCATAACAGCAGAAAAACGATGCATACGCCCTGTTTAACTACGGACTGCTGTGGTCAGTGTGACATTGTCTAAGGGTGCGAGGCCGCGTGGGCTTTGGTGCCGCACATGAGAATCGGTCCGGATTTAACTAGCCACAACTGCTTGTGCACATGGTTTGGTAGTGGTGGCTGAGAAAGTCTATGTCTGTATGGCGGCACTCATGGAAGAACCATAAGAGCATATGACAGACCCATTCCTATGCAATAATCCGATCTCCATCCGCGTACAACATACACAAGTTGCTGTACAGCCCCAGACCGCAACAATCGGTCAAAACAAAAGAAGAAAAGCACAATGATAGCTTGCATGCTATCCTACTGGTAGGATGCAAGAAATCGCTCTGCAAAAGTGCTTCGGGTTGAGAATTTTCTCAATAAATTGTTGAGATGAGGTCTTTGTAAGTCGAAGCAATGGCGCAAAATGCAAGACTATGCCCAGGGAATTGCATACGTGTGGGTGCAATCTTAAAACAATCGTCAAAATGGCCGAATATGCTATGGTCTGAGCGCTAGCAACTATGTTGTATGTCAAAAGTGGTTTTTGACCATGGCATGTCGATCATGATGAGGACGTATGGTCTTTCTCAGCTTGTCGTGACAATGCATACTGACCAACCACCACAATCTCAATCCCTTGACAAGACATGCAGAATCCCTGGATTTCTCTCAAAATCCCTGGATGGCACAAAAACGAGTGAAAAAGAGTTTTCCCGCCAAAAAAACGTTCAACTCTGCAGCTCTGCGCATAGCACAGTTCGACCCTCGTTAAAAAAAAAGTGAAGTTTGATCAGTCGGTGCCCGCCTGTCACTTTGTGCAGTGCAGATCTTGCAGGCTACAAACTTTTTTTGTAGGCATGGTCAGGTCTTGAAAGTGCTGTGCACAGTTCGAAGTGCGAATGAGCACAGTACATACCTTTGAAAAAAGTTCAAAAAACCGGGACATTTGGGGCGAATCCATGGAGTTTTCAGGAAAATCCTGTGTCCGACAAAACTGTGGTTTTCCGGGAGTTTTCTTGAAATCCCCGGGACCCCGGGAGGAGTGTTGATTTTCCGGGATTTTCCCGGGAAAAACGGGAGGGTTGGCCAGTATGACAATGGAGTTCAAAAGTCTTGCAGAATCACCTCTATAATTTGTGGACTCCTTCATCATCCCTTGATAGCAATAGTTTAGGGCCAGGTTATAACTTATAAGTGCGGTGATGTTTTTCGATTTTGACGGCATGTTACAAGGCGAGGACGCATAGTGCTCCTGACTACAACTATAACCCGGTTGGCATGGTTGTAGTCAGGAGCACCATGCGCCCTCGCCTTGTAACATGCTGTTAAAATCGAAAAACATGTTAAAAACTACCAAGCAAGGCTTCTTTATATATAAGTACGGTGATGTAGTACCGTATTTTCCGGAGTATACGCCACACTCTAAACACTCATAATTCACATCCCCCCCCCCCCCCCCCCCATCCCCAAAGTCAATGCGGCTTATACTGTAAAACATGTAATTTTAGGTGTATTAAAATTTCGGTGCCAGGTACCTGCCAGGTTTCCGGTGCAATGTAGAATTAGGTGACCAGCATTCCCGGCACATACCGTGCATACTCTGGTGCCTTTTTCGGTGTAATCTAAATTCAGGTGCTTGTTTTCTCTACCGAAACCACCGAAATTAAAGTTTACACCGAAAATATCGTGTTTCACTGTATTACGATGGTCAAATGAATAGAGATTATTATACACGGTAGATGCCTGTATTTCGTGACAAAAAAATCTGTGAGCAGCGTATAGTCCAGTGCAGCTTGTAGTCCGGAAAATACCGTATGTACTGGTAAATGTCAGTTCACAGTCCGTGCGCAGCAGGTCTGTGTATGATGGCAATGCCGCTAGGACCGGGGTCTGCTCAAGCTATCAGTAGAGTGTAGCACGCCCGCCCGCAACGCATACAGCACTAGTGACGTGTGATACAATATTCCGGTGTGGAGCACCTGTGAACCGTTCGCATAAAAAAATCACGGCTCACGTGAGACTCGGCTAGAGGCCGAGTTTTCCGTATCCGTAGCAACGCCACCACCCTCAAGGATCAAGGCACAGATGCAGTTCCTAAAGCGGTGAGATGAGAGTAGATCAGATCCAACATCAAGACGCTACGCAAAGCACCGTGGGAGCGGCTTGTGATATTCTGAGCCGCCGTGCCACGGCCGCCATAGCTTTAGGACGCCAACAGGTCACTATTTGTGCCATGGAGACACAGCGTGACCATTACATTACATTTACTAGCCCTTTCTTAGAGTTCGGCGGTGTGGCTGTGACGGTGGTGGATCGCACACGTTACACTCACCTCGTCACCGTCCACCAGATCTTCTCCAACCACCAGTCATGTGGTGCAGTTCCTGTTCTAGCAAGGAGGCAGGATTAGCCAAGTCGGTATCCAGGTGCTGGGTGAGCTACAAACCAGGGAAGTACAAACGTAGCCATATCTTACGAAAGTATACAAATAGCCACACACTATGTCACCTATTTTAGTGCTACATGTGTACAACGTAGGGACACCTGCACACCCATTCAAAGATATCGCCAGGGGCGCCATGTGGCTTAGATTAGAACAGCTGTGGTGCTGTAGCTCACAGCGGCAAGGAAACCGTTCTTACCTTACACCGCGCACAGTGTGACTTGCTCGTCTCTTTCCAGTAATTGCATGTCCGGAATGGTATCGGTGTTATTTGCCCAGTTGCAGGCAAGCTGCGAGAACCTCCTTGATCTTTGCTCAAAGTTATTTCTGGGATTGCGCAAAGCTGGATTCCGCCTGCGTCTTTCATTGAAACGCGACACCTTGATGTCGTCGCCTGCTTAGGAGAAAGATCAGCCATGGTCCCCTCTCTCTCAGTCTCATGTCAAGATCTCGACAGCTACCTGGACATGCCTCGAATGGTCCGTGCCACAAGTGACGGACACATTTCGAACGCAATCTTTCTACCCGAATCAGTACTGCCGTCACATACTGACCTGTAAAAAAGTAAATACTCATCTCGATCTTGTGGTTGAGGAGCGCATCTTCGCCACTTCAAGAGAAGGCTCAAATCAAACAGAGGCTGAGCGCTGTGAGACAAAATCCCTCTTCCAAAACATTGAGGTTTTTATTTCTATCAAAAAGACAAATCGATAGGAGATACCGGTACATGTACTACGCGTATGGTAGGTCTACAATCAAAAAGGGAGGACTAAGGACTTCAGTTCAAGACAGTACGATCAAGGCATGGAGTCTCGTTGGCATTGGCAGAGTCGCGAAGGCGTCACTCCCTCACAACGAGGGAGTAATATTTTTACTACTCCCTGGTGATCATGCTGCAGATTCATGCATGGTGCATGCACCGGCGCGGGCCGCCGGGGTCGGGATCGCGGCCGCGGGAGTCTCGGGACTGCGGGTCGTTGGTCACGCTAGCGCTAGCGAGGACATGTCGAAAATACATGTGCGAATGGCTCGTAGACTCTACGCGTAGCCTCTACGAAGACTACGCGCTATACTATCGATCGTAGAATCTACGAATGCCTGGTCACCGGTCGCTGACTCGCTGGGACGCTTGGCTTGGGCGGCGCCGTGTACGCGTGTACGCGTGTTCTCGTACCTGTTCTGTTTTGAACGGCCTTGTTTGTCTTTTCTGCGAGTTGTGCGACCGCTTGTGCGTGCATATCGCGTATGCATGATAGCTTCAAAACTCAGATTATTGGATGTTGTATTATTGAGAAAGTGACAGGAAAGGATGTTGTTGTACTTGTAGGCTCTGCATTCTCGGGGAACAGGATTGATTGAAGAGCTTTGTATATCATATCCATGGCCCTAGTAGACCTGCTGCATGCTTGGCACTTCAGTCCGTCTTCCACTTTGTAGCCTTGTCGGGACGAATCGACCTGGCGTCGTTGCCCGGTTTATTCAGTGACCTTTTGGATCTTGTTGCGTTTTATAAAGCTACTGAATACTACTGTAGTAATCAATTGTTTAGAGGTCATGCACAATTCCGTCAACAGAGGCTGTTTCGATGGTCGGTCGACCAATAAGCCTTGTCGCAAATCCGGTCGTCGACCCGCTGCGTTCCGAGTCCTCCGACCTTGCAAGCCCCACTTCAGCTTGTGGGAGAGTAACCCTGAATTCAGTGATACTTCTATGGACCACATGATCGTTGCTCAGGACCTGCTCAATGCTGTTGCTGCTTTGGAGAGCGGTGAGGAGTCGGATGTGAGACGCCAATTGTCCACCCTCGCTGTTCTTAGTGGTGGTGAGAGCGATTGCAGACGAAAAACAGGCTTCCCTCTCAGACGAAAAATTCTACGTCATAAAGCTAGAAATCTGAAGAAAAAACGCCGTCCGAAGCGTAAATTTGTGAGTGTTCACCCTCCCGGCGACAATGCGACCAATTATGACGCCGCCGCAGCTATTGCTCGTCCTCGCCATGAGAGCCACTTATCTGTACCGAATTCAGGTCGTGCTGGTTCAATTGTAGGACATACGAGCAGCGAAGATGATGGCTCCGCTGCGCTGCGGCAGCTGCAGTTGTTTATGTCAGATGACAACAGCAGCAGTGCCGCTGGTTTGAGGAGAGGTGATTCGGAAGTCTCCAGCAGTGTGTGCGTGACGGAGAGTGAGCTGAGCGATACAGCCTGGGAAGAAAGCTGCGATGCGGATGATGAGCTAAGTTGCTTTGAAGCACCGTCTTCGTCGTCGGCCGGTATGCGAAGCAGCTCGCTGCGCATGCTAGAAGCAACGCGTGCAGTCAGTAGGCATTGTTATGGCGACGTTGAGGATGCATACGAGGTTGATACTGGTGCGAGCGATCATGATGGCCGTAATTCGCTGATGGCTTCAAGCGACATTGACTCAAGTCTGACCGTTATGCCACTACCCAACCCTGTTGTCTCGGTGTCCGCACCAGATGCAGCCCATACGGTTGGAGTGTCTCCTACGTCATTAGTTCGTCCTGTCCTGTCACCATCAGCCCGCTCGGCAGGGGCTTCGACTAGGACAAAGGAGCTGAGCAAACTTACGTCCAGTACGTCTTCCATTGGTGGTAATGATCGTCCGTCTGCTCAGCCGCCGTCCGCTCGCTCTCGTCCGTCCAGCGCTAGTGCTAGTGCGATGAGACACGGCACAGACGCGTTTCCCTTTGCCAGCGCGTCCATTGTAAGCAGCCTGCGCACGCTGAACCGTGTCCTGTTCCAGTTCGTGACGAGTCGCAAGCGCACGCTGCAACTGCCGACCATGCATCGTCGATCGCGGCGGGTGGTCTGGCAGCTGGCCTCGCTCTACCGCCTAGAGTGGTCGGTGGAGAGCAGCTCAGGGCGTTCGCGCTACTCGGTGCTGACCTGCACCAAGAAGTCGTCGGTGCCGGATGCGAGTGTCGTTGAGCAGTTCATCAAGGAGGCAGCGCAGCTCTTGTCCAAACCAGTACATGCGTCGGGTATTCTGGAGTGGCTGCCGTTTAGTGCCGGCTCTCCATCACTGTCGCTGGCGCACCGCCGCTCGCTCTGTCTAAACATTCAGGAACCAGCGGGGAGCGAGGAGATGGAGGCGGACGAAACTTCCGCCACGGATGCTGGCGATGTGATGCAGCACTAGTGGTAGTTCCTGTGCCGTCTGTGATCTGTTTTTATTATTTTTTTTATCTTGAAGTCCATTCAACTCCAGTCAGGACTGCGACGTCTTACTCGGTTGACATTTCGATTGACTTGAGAGCACCAATCGGCGTTCACTCATTGAGAAGGTGAGCTCTGAACATACTGGCTATACGTTTTTCGCGTGCTTTCATCTTGCTGCATGTGCTTCATTGTACAGCTGTTCGTCTGTTAAAATCGGATTCGGTGCATGTACGCGTGCCTGTATGGCGAAAGACTTCAATCGTTGGCTTATCACCAGTGTACAATGCTGGCTTGCGCTTTTTTAAATATTTTTTTGTATCCCCTTCTCAGTCAATTCTCAGATTCGGTTTCTCTTGCAGTGGGTTGCATCAGCAGTACTCTGCGGGTCCTTGTGTATGTTCCCTCCAGTCTAGATTCATTGTTTTCTGCTATGCAGTACACATGCATTTGCAATCTACACCCCTGTCTCACGCATTTGATTTCTATTTTCTGCACTCCACGTTCCTATTGAGAATTTATCGCATCCCTGTACTATATTCTGGTTATATTTTCGCTGCTGCTAATAGATGTATGTGCTTGCTACCTCCTAGACTTTTAGCTTTTTTTGTTGTCCTGCTGGTTTGTTTCGTTTTGTTTGTGATGATGAGATTTGTACAATAATAGTCTGGTTTCCCGTTTTGAACTGAATGTTCCTGTATATAGCACTTCAGCATAGTTACCGCTATTCTTCTAAGGCACGTACACGTATTTTCTTATCCGATGCACCACTTAGCTGCAGCACGTACTAGAATACTCTCTCACCTTTGACCACCACTGACTTAGACCTATAGGCCAGCCTGGCTATCTCCATCTTTTTGTTGTGAGATGGCCCTGCATTCAAATTACTTGTATTTGTTTGTCTCTGTTCCGGAATTATCACAGTTTTCTGTTATTCTTGAATTCATTGAAAGTGGTTTGTCTTCTCTTCTTCTTGTGGCTGGTGTGCCCTCTTTGTTTTTCTTCTTCTTCGCCGTCATCTTCTTTTTATATACTGGACTGTGTGTTCCGGAGTCTGCTCTGATCTGCCTGGCGGCCCTGCAAGTCTTTTGCCCTGTCATGCACAGTGGACACATGATTTGTTTCTGATACAATGATCTTGTGAAGTGTGCGGATGGCAAGTAAAAGCCAGGAGATCCATTTGGGGCTTGGGCACCTGGCTTAGGTTGGGGTTGCATAAGTCACGGGGGAGTGGAGGAACACCCACGCTTTGAAGCAAGAGCTTTCACATCCCCTGGCCGTTTCGGTCAGAGTTGACTATAGTCAACTTCAAGTATGACGTTGTGTGGGCTATTCTCACCAAGAGAAAAATGACCTCACTGGTAGTGCTATGAGTGCTGACGTACCTGTTCAAATCGATCATATTTCTGTAAATGATTGCATTATCACTGTATGCATATTGCAACAATGGTACAGTTCACACTTTGTAGTCAATTGTGCACATTGCGTTGAAACATACCAGTCTCGATTGTGCAGTGCAGCGGTTGTCTGTTTTACTTTTGCTGGTTCATGATCATGACCATGATGACGATCGGGTGAAATGGCATTGTCATTACAACATTTGTGTGAGTTACTGCCCAGTGTGACTCGGTCGTAGTCGTATGCTGTACTATTACGTAGCCCTGTGTAGCTAGTGTAGGCTGTGGTGTATAAAAATAATAATGTTACAGTATCAAGAGTGCAAGAGTTTATGGACTCTCGCCTCAGATCGATTCGCGATCGCTCCTATCAATTATTATTATTTTTTATATTTATGACACAAATGTCCAGGTGCAGGTAGCTACGCCTCTTTTACGGGCAAACAGAATACATTCACGGTGCCATGGTGAAGGATTCGGATTACTAATATATTATTATAGTAATATTAATAATACTAGCTAAATACAATACTATTACTACTGTAGTACTCATGGTACTGCCACTGGGGGCCGGGTACTGCCATTTTGGTAGAGGAAGGAGCTGCAACAATATTGTCAATAATTATTATTATCTGCATCAGATCATGCATGATGCAATGTCGGTGTCACGTGAGGGGTCAGGTTGAGTCATGAATCATGATCATGATGATGATCCAGCTAAAACTGCTTGCATTTTTTGATTTGAACACCGATGGCTTGATTGACCGATTTCTTGTCAATCTTGATTATGAATACGAATATGACTTATGTCATGAGAACAAAGTCAAAGATGAAAACATCCCTAGCATGCCTTTTTGTCGACATGTCACCACTGGCACTAGCTTTTTGTAGAGTGAGACTGCAGTGTAGCTAACATATTCACCATCGTTGCGTGCTGTGCTGGTCTAGTCTGCGAACTAATACTTCGATAGAAAATTATTTTTGTAGTCTGATGAAAGAGTAATCTTAGCACTTGTCTAGCAGTTCAACGCGGGCCGGATAGAATGGCTTCCGCTGAGGTGGCTTCTGGCGTCTTTCCCGAGCTAAGAAAGAAAGCCTTGCAGGATTTGCTAGAGTTCGTCAAAAACGCAGTTAGCAGCCAAGAAGACACAAGCAAAACTGTTGATCTAGAGCAAGGTGAGCTCCTAAATTTAGACCTATTTTTTGTTTGTTTGAGATCTGAGACCATGAAAATGTATGTTTGCTGAATACGGTACGCAATGCAGACGCTGTTTGCAATGTAATTCGAATGAGTTGGACATCCTGCTTCGCGAAGAGTGCTTCGTGCCAACATGCAGAGTTTGCTGTATGAATTAAATCATTGTTTTTGCCAAGATTGTTATTATGACATGTCATGAGCAATGCTCAGCACCACAGCCGACTCAAATAATAATTGTACACAAGTGGATAGTTTACACATCCTGCGTACGGATGCATGCATGTTAGAGAGAAGCAAGTACAGGCACGTCATATGGAAGCAAACCAAAGCGTGGCAAATGGAACAAGACCTGCATGGAGCCAATCAAGCCAGAATGCTGCAAGTTTGAAAATAGCGTCATGCTGAACACAATCGTTTTAAAAATGTCTCAATTGGCAAACCTGGCTTCCAATGATCTTAGGTTACATAATAGAGCTGATAGAGCTAGATTCGAAATGATCAGCAGCTTGCATATTTCAAATCTAGGCCAGTATGTTCTAGTAGCTGCAGTGTTCTTGGGTCCGTTTGTAACGGAATCACGGTTCCCCGGGACGCAGGACACAAAGGACAAGTACATTATTATATTGACATGACGGGAAAACAAGGACAGCTGACTCCCATGGGACGAACAAGAAGACTGACAAAATGCCTCTCGACTGCAAAATCGTGCATGCTCATATCACACATGCGCACGACTAGACGAAGACAGTTTGGGGAATGTCATCACACAGGAGAACAATGCATCGTTTCATAACATGTTCCAGAGATATGATTGACACACGGTGGTATTGATTGGTAACGAAATCAAGTGCTGCTTGAGCATTTTGGTGTTGTGGGTGAGAGACATGAGCTGACTGGGGCGGCTGCAAGTACACGTAATTTCAGATGGTACGGCCAGTCATATCAGTGGAGTGTCTTTGGACCTTCCTGCATATATTTAGAACTTCAGACTAAATAATTGCATTTCATTAAGGTGGCACTCTGGGTTCGCGCATACCCGTCACAAGAACGCCCATAACAATCCATAGCCTTGATGGAATTGGATGAAATTTTCTACAGATTCTCAGTACATGTGTCTGCCTCGAATCACACCATGATAGTAAGGCTGAACTCGAAAGCTCTGCTTTCTACCTTCGTGTCTTACAACCCGACTGGTACGAGCCGGATTCATATTTTTCAACCACAATATAGAGACATTGAGTGAGACTGACAGGAGAGGCTCATTTGTACAATGACTAGTATATAATATTTGTCCAAGTCCTGAATAGAAAAAAATTCCCATGGGGACTATTATAAATAGGACCAATGAGCAATCAGAACGATGTTCGCAGTTTTTCAGGGCATCTTCTGTGGAACACGCCAAACAGGACCCTGGCACATCTTGCAGCAAACTGATTTCGAGAGGAGAATAGCAAGACATTCAAGGTCAACTAAACGATATCCTGATGTCTGGGACTCTATCTCATCATCAGATGAGCTCAGGTCTTCTTCAGTGTCAGTCGAATCAGCACTGGTTCCAGAAGTTGACGAATCAGATGACGAGATTTCCAAATCAGAATCATCAAAAGTATCTTCAGGCACAGGATCGCTCGTGCTGGCTTCATGTGGCGTTGCAGCTTTTTTTGAGACCGTCTGCGGAGCCTTTCCGTAAAATTTCCTCTTCCTAGGACGGCCAGGACGGCCCTTCGCTTTCTTATTGCCCATTCTGACTACCAGGAAACAGAATACCCAGCTTGGAGGAAGTTCCTGCTTGAACAGCTGATGAACAGCTGACAAACTGCATTTTCAAATATTTCAAACATTTGCGCATGCGCACTCATGTATCCTGTACCCATGGTTACGAATTTCAAGCTTACAACATGCGCACCAGCGCCATCAAGCTATGTAGAAAATTTGAAAGAAATCCCATGAGCCACACCGACCTTTCATAAATCCTTGCATTTTTGGAAATTTGTGAGAAGGATGTTTTGGAATTTACAAAAATATCGACTATTGCCTTATTTTCAAAGCCCTATATCTCAGGAATGGGATGTCCGATCGACTTCAAATTTTTCTTCATGTATTTGGATATTCCCCGAGTACGAGTGGTTTAGAAGCAAAATCAAGATCATCAGAGAGAATTCATTTTTCACCCCCACCCTCCTGGTTGGTTAAAGACTCACTCACCGCGATTCCTATTGGATTGGCTGATGGCAGTATTTGGTGAAACTGTAGTCTGTCACTGCACCAACATAGCTGCAGCTGTGCTCAGTAGTGCTTTCACTGATTCCACCATCTTCTTTACAGCTTGAAGTAACTTAGACTGTAGAGTTTTCACAATGGAACTATCTGCAGTTGCCCAGAAACTTGAAATAATACACCACTGTCATGCAAGCTGGCCTTTGTGCCAGTTTGTTGTTATGGGCCAGGGCTTATGGCATGTGCAAGAGTTTCTTGTCATCATCCTATTGGCATGGGACCATATCCAGGGTACATATTATTCCTAATTATTCCCTTATCTTCTTTGCAATGTTGTTGCTGCTTCTGCTGCTGCTGCTGCTGCTGTTGCCGTGCCTGTTTCTATTGTTGTTACTTCTTTTGCTGCTGCTGTCGTTATCATCATCGTTATCGCCGTTGTCATCATCACTGCCTGCTGTTTTGCCCAGATGAGCGGCATACTTGGCATGCTCAGTTCACGGATTACTTCATTGTTCAGGATAGAGGTGAAGACTGTGACGACTTACTCTTCTACGTCAAGTCAGATGCTGGTGCCAACGGCACGGCTCAGCGGAAACGGGCCAACCAGAAGCCAGCGGAAGACAATCCAGTGGATGTAAGTACTTGGTTAAAACGAGGTGCGGCTTATAGTCTAGCATGACTGACTACTGAAGTGAATATAATCAAAACGATAATGATTAATGACATGGACCTGGAAATGGGGGGGGGGGGGGTGCGACTTACAATCGAGTGCTTCCTATAATCGGGGAAATACGGTAGTTATTTTATGCCTGTGCTAGTTTTTGTGAAGTGCTCACACCGTTGTGTGTTGTGATCTACACCTCTTGACACCACCAGTACGCACTAGGGTATGATCATGAGCGCTACTGTCTGTGCACGTGATACACAGCGCAGTACGATGTGGGCTGCATGCGCTGTGAGTAGTTTAGCATCGGGATCATGCATGCTGAAACAGTGACTGTACGCACGCAGGATGGCAGCGGCCGGAAGCTGTGTAGCGCAGTCCCTTATGGCAAGTGTCGGATTATGCTTGCCACAACTGTACATGTATTGTTTATGATTGGTATTGACTACTAGTATTAGCTTAATGACTAGCTATATGGATGCTTTGCCTCTCTCTTCTCTGATTTAGATTGTTGTGTGTCGAAAGGATTTCAAGAGCTTGCCGACGTAAGCGCCGTTGTTTGGTGCATTGCTTGCCCAGCGCTGTTTCCAGTATTTGACTGGTTTTCCCGTGAAGAGATATTATGAGGTGTCTACCCGCCCTTCAACTGCATGTGCAGAACAGCTAATGTGTTCCCACTTCGCGTTGGTTTGGGGCTGAAGCAAGCCTGGACTGTGGGGTTGGTTCCAGGAAAAAAAAAGAAGAAAAAGTTCTCCCTGAGGTGGGGTGTTGATGTCATTGTGAAGTTTGTATATTAATCCTGGCACCAGCCGATTCACAGTACAGTAAGGGCCTGGTCAGACTGCGGCAAAATCGAAATAATCCTTGGATTATAATCCGAATCTCCATAGTAACTCGCCGCCAGAGCGGCAAAAGCGGGAGTTGACGCTCCAAAAAAAAAAGCAAGAACCGACCACGCTTTTCCGCTCCAACAGGAGTTTGACGCTGATACGCCATTGACGCTGATATTCACTTATTTTTTTCATCTCGATATCGAGGAGCTAATTGGCCACGGACAACAACAAAACTCATAAGGATGGTTGCAAGGATTGCACTGAAGGTGTTGGTGATCCCCAAGGTGAAGGAATTTGACGTCGTTCGTGGAGATTACCACTTGACGCTCGAAATGAAGTTTGAATTTTCATTCTCCCCACATGTGTAGTGTGATCGCGATTCTAATTCTGGACGCTTTTCTGTTTTCGTCAGGCAACCAAAATTTGCCGCAGTCTGACCAGGCCCTAACAGTGCAATTGGATGAATTTTGATTAAAATATTTTCCAACATTTTGTCTTTCTTCTTTTCACAAAATATTTTCCGCATTGTTTAAAAAAAAAGTTTTTCCCTGTATGAAAATTTCTGTTGAAGGCAGTTTTGAAGCTTTGGAGCAGTCCGTATACCAGCTGTATGTATGCCTTTGCTTACTGGCATGACTAGGGAATAGGCAGCCTGCCTGTGGTGATCTTCAGGTACTGTCTGTCTCTTTTGTCTTTTTAATTTTTTGCTGGTTTGTACATGACAGCGTGAGTGACGCGCTAGTGCGGTGGAATGAAACGATGTACCTCAATCTCATAATGCAAGAGGTAAGACTTTGCTGTGCTTCCCCAGTGAGTCACTGACCAGTGCTGTATGTATGTATGTATGTATGTATGTATGTATGTATGTATGTATGTATGTATGTATGTATGTATGTATGTATGTATGTATGTATGTATGTATGTATGCCTGCCGTGATGGAACGGTGTGTAGTCTGTAGATTGCTTGATATCGTGATTGTATGATGCCATGATTGAAGGGTGTGTAGATTGCAAAATGTCTTGATTCAATGGTGTGTAGATTGCATGATGTCATGATTGAATGGTGTGTAGAATGCGTGGTGGTGTATGTCGGGGAAGGCCCCATAATCTGTGTGCTGGCAAGCATGCAGGCTCAGTATTCTCAGTTCTGTTGGTGCTAAAGATGCAATCGTTCAATTCACTAACGTACTTTCGCACGGTTTGTGTGTGTGTGTGTGTGTGTGTGTGTGTGTGTGTGTGTGTGTGTGTGTGCGTGTGTGCGTGTGCGTGTGTGTCTGTGTGTGTCTGGATGTTGCATCTCCACAGTTTGACTACACTCTAACCGTTGGAGTGTGCAGCGCCGACTCTAAACCCATGCAGCCATTGGACGTGTTTGCACTGAAATCTCAGGTAAGACATGCATGAGCATGATGAGCACACCACTGGTTTGGTGTCAACATACTAGTACCGTAAAATCCCGCCAAAGCGCCCCGTCTCTCCTATCCGCCCCTCCCTGACTTCTTGTCAGGGACGTGGTTGATTGTATCCTCGTATGACTCTGTCACAGTCTGTGATGCCGTACTGTACTGCAGACGCGTGCTCGACCCCGTTGGAAATGTACGCAACAGTGCCCACCCTCTTGACCAGGGATCGCACAAACCCTGAGTTTTGACGGGTCTGTGCGACTCCTGACTCTTGACCTTTGGTAGGTGTACGAGATGCACGACAGTTTTCGTAGGGTGAGTACTTTTTCATGTAGCACTGAATGCGGCAAGTAGGACTCGCCCATCCGCCCCTCCCCACCTGAAGCGTCGAGGAGGTAGGGGCGCTCTGGCGGGATTTTACGGTACATGTACTCTCTTCAGATTAGCATGCTTCCATTCAAATCATGATTCTATGCAAGTCATGCATTCGTACAAGATTACTGTAAATATTACTCAACACAAAGTTTCTATTACAAACAGCAAAATGTGAACTGCTAACTACTAGATATTCATAAGTTTGAGGGAAAGTTGTAAACGGGAAAAGTCTGCAGAAATTGTTTACTGTCACCACCAGGACTGGAACCAGGGACTCTTGCTTATGAACTGCAATGCTCTACCACTAAGCTATGGTGTTGTCGTCATCCAAGCAGCGACCGTTCAGCATTTCCTTCAGACTTTGAAACTCACGCCACAATGTGGCCATAGGCAATCACAGGTGTGTCTTGTTCTGTTGTTGTTCTGCAGAGAGTGTACGCCACGCCGAGCCTACAACGGTAAGTTTCGCCAGACCTGGTGTTGTTCATGTTGTAGAGTACCTTTGGCACGCAAGCAATCATGACAGACTGGTACACTAGGGTCAACGGCAGTAGTGGACATGGGCCACTATGGCCACTATGGCTATGAACAAGAGTGCACAACCCCCCAGAGTGCGCAACTTCACTGATCAGATCTGGGACGGCGAAATCCGTGTTGCACATCGTAGGGTGACATCATGAGTATGGGGAAGTGTTTCCACGGTGGACCGCATCGATGGAACGACGCAAGTCCGACCCAAAAAAATGACGTACATCACGGATTACGCCGTCCCACAACCCCATCCCAGTCGCGCACTCTGGGGGATTATGGACTTGCTATGATCTAACACAGTGCTGACCAGGGAGTAGTAAAATACCGGTATTTTACTACTCCCTGGCCAGCACTGTGTTTCACTGCATTGTATCTTACGTAATCTCCAGACGGCTACAGCTGTTTTGACCTTATTGGCTTTCATCAGCGGAGCTCAGAGCTACTGGCGTTGATTCTTGTGTGTTGTGAAGTGCACCTGTTGTATTGTCGCTGTGATGAACTAACACACAGTGACAGCTCTCCCTCTTCAAGTTGAACCTCTTTCCATGGAATCACGTCCGTTTGTTATCTGCATATTGTTACTCTGTGGTTGGTGTGGCTTACCACACTAATGTCATGTCAAAGCCACGAGGGCTGCAGCGCTGCCAGGCGAAGCCCAGCCCCGCAGTTCTGTGATACCGGTAGCTCCGTGCCAGTTCCAGGGGCATGCAGTGCCCAGCGTATAATTGACTGTAATGGATTCTGATTATTCGTGTGATCTTCTCTAACCGATGCTTGCCCGTCTGCTTGTTTGACTTCAAGGCGTATTCTGCTCTGTGACTGTTACAACACTTAGCAGGAGCACAAGCTTCAGGTTCTTGAACAACATTCTGAAATCTTTTTTCACAAGTAAACTTCCGTGCCTTGCCTTCCTTTCGGGTGATCTACAGGCAAGAGCAAACGGGAACAAGAACCTGAAATCTGTGCTCCTACTAGGTGGTATAGCTTCTCCTTCTTTTTTTTTTGTCTCCGAGGAACCTTTTTTTGATAGCTACAATGTTTATTTGCGTGCCATGTGCCCTTACTCCAGTTTTACTATTGTTGCTGTGGCCTGTTTTCTTGTAGAATGGACAAGAAAGGCCAAACGAGCACAATGACGTATCCGTTACTCTACTTCACCATTGACAACTTTGAAGAAGTGAGTACCATATTCTCTGCCGTGTCTGCAAGCGCTGCTGTGACGTCTGTCCCGGAGTCCACTGAATGTGGGTGGTTTGAATGCCCAGCTCACTTCTCATGATAGAACCCCATCTTCCCCCATACCATTCCCTGTAGTGATAATAGAACAGGTCGCGTAATGAAGCATCATAACGATAGATGTGCAAAGTCATGATGCCTGGTCCGCTTCTGTCCTGGGTACACTACCCCATGCATTGCAGCCGCGAGCAAAACCAGCTCAGGCTGAGAGTACTGTAATTTCACAAATTTTCGGTGTACTTTTATTTTCGGTACGTTCGGTGCATCTGTGTCATACCTAAAATTTCAATACGCCGAAAAAACGCTAGCACGCATGATCCAATAGGGAACTGCTTCTCTGTACCTAAAATTTCTGTTCACCTAGCCTTTTGCCGTCATGCCGAAAATATTGAGCACCGAAAATGTCTGAAATTAGAGTAATTGGAGCTTGTATTGTCCAGCGGTACTCTGAAAAGATGGCGGGGGAAAGACGTACCCTCATGGGCATCGGGAAGTGTACTTACTATCCGAGGTATTTCTTATTTCAACGTGCTTGAGTAGGTAGGAGTAGCAGTACAGTAAACCCTGTGACTAACGACCACCCCTTGGGGCCAGAGAAAGCGGTCTTTAGAGGCAGGTGGTCCTTAGTTAGAGGTTTGCATTGCACAACCAATCCATACTATACGAATGTGAGACCATCCGTTCCTGTTGAAGTGGTCTGTAGTACCAGGCTGGTCGCTAGTCGCGGTGGTCTTTAGTTACAGGTTTTACTGTAGTACCAGGCTGGTCGCTAGTCACGGTGGTCTTTAGTTACAGGTTTTACTGTAGTAGGAGTTTTTGTTTTGTTTGTGACGATAGCATTGCATTTGCATTGCGTTTCTTCTTGTGTTTGGGGAACACAGCCCCATGCTGTGTGATCAGTCCTAAGATAGACTTCAGTATGGATCAATGCACCCGTGCTCCGGACAATGTCCATGCTAAGCAAGAGTATGTTGAATCAGAGTACTTACTAAGTGAGTTCCACTGTAGCTTCACACTTATCTGGACTCTCTATGCTTATGTGGGGATTTCATCCCGATCTGGGTGTGTGCCACCCGAGCTGTCCCCTCGTTTATGGGTGTTTGCCAGCCATTTCACCCCCAAATGAGGAGTTTTCCATGGCTATATCCCATAGGCTGAGGAGGAGTGTATAAGCAGAACATACATCCTCAATTGGATACCCCCATCATGATTGGTTACAAATGCCTTCACTTTTGTTGTGACTCTGCACATAGGTGTTCAATGACGTTGCCGTGCAGGACAATCAGAAAGTTGTCGTCCAGCTGACTGCATTCAAAGCGGTAAGGTACTGTTGGCATATCGCAGGTTACTAGTGTTACCTATTGTCCACCGGCCAGGTCTGTCTACAAGCT